CCAAAACATCCCCGGGCAAATGAAAGGACTTGGCCCCCTATGCATCTTCAACATTGTTTGCGTCCTCTGCTTCACTGATTCTGCTGGGAAAAAAACATTACATTAAATGCTGCAGACCCTGTCACCCCACTGAAGAAGTATATGTCAGTCCTTGCCTCCAACTCCGAGTTGAGTCAGCACCATGTCTGGCACTGCCCTGTCTGGAAAGAGGAGTCAATGGCCCTCGACCTCTTGCAAGGTTGCAGCAGCTCCACATGACACATTGGGAAATGTGCATTTCGGTTGTCGAAAATGGGGGCGTTGCCGAGAAAACATCGGCCGTGTTTTTCTTTGCGTTGAGGCAACATCGAGGTATTCTTCAAAGATCAAAAACCGATCATATTCGAGTCTCTCGTGGATGGTGGACATTTCGGTGCGGAAGGAAAACAATGACAACAGTTTATAATAGTACTTAAGCATTAAGAGGTGAACTCTATACATGATTGATGTTTGTCGTATTTATGTTGTCTTATTAGCCAGAATGCATGAAAGAGTGACAAACTCTTGTTTGTGAAATTGAAAACGTTACTTTTAATTTAAAGTTTGTCCAGGTGCGACCAATTCTGCTGTGCCACTACGATTTGGATCGATTTGGAACTGTGGTCCCTTAGCTTCACAATCTACAGTATATTCTACACTTCTGAGTTTATTTGCTCGCTTTGTCAGCGGTGTTTTTGCGAAGCCTTCATTCGTACTAAAATTCTTGAAAAACCAAAGTGATCCCATCGGTCCATCGGCTGCGCCGAACTCTTGACAGTACAATCTTTACAGCTGATGCCACAGGCAAGAGAGAGAGAGATGTGGGGCCCCATGCCATTTGGAAGCGTCTGTCAGGTTGGGACTGCCAGTATACCAATATATCCCAAAGAAACCATTAAGAAATCATCAAGTACAATTGTAAATTTACGGCCGATTAGGACACATGAAAAAGCATAACTCTTTTCGGAAACCATGAGGACGAGTTTGCTTCCCGACCTTCCGCTCCTCAAGGAACAAAATGGCGTTTACGGTGCTTCAGCATGACTGCTTAAGAAATCTTAAGAACCCCACGGTTTTTGCTTAATTACGCGGGGGGCTCGATATGACGAGACCCTGATTAAACATGTAAAACTGGGTACTCAGAGCTGCTCAATTGCAGTGTTTGAGACAGAAAGGTCAGGGGAAAGAATGAAACCAAGAACAACCATAAAATCGATCAAAATGTCTCATGATTGAACCTCTCATGAACGATACGAACGAATGAGTGGAGCTTCTGTCTATGTTTCCCTTTTCCATTTATTGGTACATTCACGAAGGACAAAAGCTTGTTAATAAGTGGAACTTTTCTGGGTGTAAGACCTCATGATACCTCATGCATTGACTACCAATATCCTTTAACCATATACAGTAATTGAGTCCAAGAGGCTGTGGGTGGCAGTGCACCTTTTTATATAGCACTTTTGATGTTGCGTTTGATCATCTGACGTGTGTAAAGCCTTGCACACATGTTCCCTAAGTATCAAACAAGATTGAAAAGAGTCCTGTTGAAGAGTCACTTCCCTCCCTTCCTTCATTCATAGCAACCATTTTCTTTGTAACAATTGGATTGGATCTTCTATTTAAAAGGGATTCTTCACAATTTGCTTCAAGTGGAGCGTACTAGTCAATAAAAGGTGGCAGCAATTAAACAAAGGAGCGCTGATTTCAATATTGTTCAGTGGCAACAAGTTGTCAAAATACATTTCGGTGATAGTGTTTGTGATTGATGACATCGAAATAAGGCAATAAGGCTGAAACAATTCAGCTAAGTATGGGAGAAGCCGAAGAACCACAAAAGGAGCCAAAATAACAATGCTTGAGGAAACTAATAAAAAGTTAGAAGGGGAAGCGCATTAAACGGAAGAATTGCAAGTCAAGAGTGCTAAGTAACAAACAGTATACAATAAATTGTACAGCGTACGGGACTTCACAAACCAATAAATAGGTCAAGGCTTCAATTTGGGCTCCCTCCATACCAGAAAGAATGGCAAACTGTTTAACACTGGATAGAATCAATCAAATAAGCAGAAAAACACATTCTTGAGTGCGGACTGTTTGTCATCATCCAGGATATGCGCACCAAAGGCATCCTTAGCCTTACATCCTCGACTCTTTGTCCTTTTTGAGGGAGGGATCCAGTTTGCTCCGCCACGCCTAGGTCGCTGAAAGGGCTCAATGAGGTCACGTCCTTGGAAGCTCACTTTGCATGAAAGGAGAATCTGCAGCAGGGGCCTAGCAATGGTGAGGGGCATTGAGAAACATATGAGCCACCGGCAAGTGTCTTGCATCAAATGACATCAGGATTTGGGAAGTGTGTGACCCTTGATTGCTGTGTTTGTCAGTTGCATCAACTTTGGTTAGAATCTGTGTTTTGAGATCCCACATCACTCTCTACTTGTATCTGTCTTCTGTTATTTTTCAACGTACCTCATTAATTTGGTGGCATGAAAATGCGTATATATATATATAGCCTATAGGTTTAAACCAATAACGATTGCCAAGCACGTTCCACACGTTCAAGACGTGCTCCAAGTACGCAGCAGACTTGGATTCCGTGGACAAACCTCATCACAGCTGGTGCAAAAATGGTGTCTTCTGTTGCTTGAAACTGCGACACCTGTTGCAGTCACCCTTCGGCTCCGCATGAGGGAACATGATTCCGGTTGAAGGTCAACGCTTTGAAGGTTTCAAAAGATGGGCGCCCGCACCACTTTGCAGCCGATCCACCCAAATGCTGCCAAGACCTATGCTCCTGTGCCAAATGTCAGGGTAAGTAGTTTATTTCTTTGCATAAGGTCTAAGAATCAACCCGCTCTAAGTGTCATCCACAGCCCCGACAAAAGAAAGCAACGAACCCGAATCTCAACTCCAATTGAATTCCAAGACTACACTCAAGACACGCAACGCAAAATCGGAAAGCTCAAGCTTTGTACTCATTCTTCTGTGTCTAGGCGTTGTCAAGTTTGCAAACTCTACTGGCAGCAAAGCTGAACAAACAGAGGAACATCTGGGTATAACGGTATAACCAAGAACCGAATGAGTCATACCTAAACAAAAGTAACATCAACCCCAACCCCAACATCTTGGTGGAAGCTGGACGTCGTACGAAGGGCCGGCCCGGCCTCTGCCTTTTCTGGGCAAACTTGGCCAAACTGCCCGGGGACTTCTCTGGAGTCGGCAGCTCTACCACCTCGGAAGCGACCAGCTAGTCAGCTGTATCGTGGTAGTTTATGGTAGTTTGATGTAAACTGAGCCAATCCACTAAACAAATCTAAACAAACACTTGGTTCCGTCAAAAACCAACAAACTGTATAGCTTCTATCAGTTGTGTTTCGTTTGCATGTTCATGCAATACCAGTGGATCCTTCAGGTCACTCACTGGTGCGCCAAAAGCCCCAATCAGCCAAATCAACTGCCTGTGTCTCTGCCATTCTCTGCTATCTTTCAAGCGAGACATCTGGTTTATTGAGAGTCTAGGCTCGGTCTTTGTCTCGGTCAAGCTTCCAAATGTGAAGCATGCAACATGTGCAGAACGTAGCAGCTCATCTGAGACTCGCGCCGTAGTGGCATCTTTATGCGCACGGTCCTGGTGCCACGATTCACTGATTCACCTTGAAGAGGTCGTGACAGGTCGTCACAGATTTTGTGCGGAGAGGGTCAGCTGGCATAACATGACGTGGCACAACCAAATATCTCCATCAATATCTCAACTAGCTCCCTGCAGCTTCTTGTGAAGAACCCAAGGTTAGTCAATGGAGATGTGAGATGATGTGAGATGATGTGAGCTGTGCAAGTTGGCCGAGGAATGGGCATCCATCCAGCTTTGGACAACTGGGTGATTGCTCGTTTTTGGGGGTAGGGGTTCCCATCATTCCCGGTGAATGCTCCCAAGCAAGCTTCTTAGGCGTCCTGGATGCTCCAGGGTTCGAGGGATGGTGCCGAAGAAGGCCGAAAAAACTGAGCCTCCACCGTGCCGACGTGCCAAATGGGTTTCATTCGCGAGTCTTGCATGACGTTAGGATGTCTATATAGTATCATACAGTCATGTCCACGTAAGTCATTTCCTCTACGTCACTACTCTGTGAACATCCGTGAACCTATCGGATCGGACATTATCGGACCTATACATCTCCCTCTCATTAATAGCTTCTAGTAAGGCACCTGTTACTACTAGTAAGGCACTTGTTACTAGTAGCGATGCACTTGTTACTAGTAGAAAGGAATGGATGCTCTCTATCTCTCTCTTTGTAATCTGTGTATGTCGTCCAGGTTGGTCGAAGCCTTGAAGCCGGCGATTGCTGCCTTGACTTGCTGGCCGTGTCAGCCCCATCAGCTGGTGAGAGCATAGCAGGCGGCGTTGACTCAAAATGTCGCTGGATGTCTTGGGCTATGCCTGGGCTAGCAGTTAGCAGCTATGGGTATAACTAGCTAAGGGGGTAAGGCCGTTCAAAGCTTGAAGCTCTGCTGAGGCTTATTTTTTCCTCAACTAAAAGAGCTCGTGAAGTGACCTGCAGTCTGTAAACTCGTTGTTGAGCAACCCGAGTCCAAACAAAAAACATGAAAAACTGCATGCAACTGGTGCTGCTTTGAGCCAAACACAAGACAGGAGCACGTCAATTGGCATTCTTAGACTGACTGGCCCATGGGACATCCCTCACCTAGGGAGCATTTCAAGCACAGGTGAACCAGGCAGAAAAGTGCCCAGTGTTGCCACCCCTTGAAGAAAACACAAAGACACTGACTAATTATGATCAATCATATATAACTCGGGTGCAAGTTCTCTTTTCAGGACCACCTGAAGATTGTGACTCCTGGCTGGCCCCTCCAGCAGAGCAAATGGCTAGTGACGGATGAGGTTCACCATGGATGGCTATGCCATCTTCAAGCCATAACATCCATTTCAGATATTGGTTGCAACCTTCATCACTGACTGCAATTGAATTGACTTACTGGCCATGTGCTGCCTCATCCAAGCAACCCGGGTCTCTTGCGGCTTTTGCGTCTTCAGAGAGCCCTTGGGCGCCCCAAAAATTTCGCTGATGGCTGATGAAATAAGACGGTCAAACTATGCCAAACTAGTCCTCGTGAAAAGACATCTATGCCATGTCAAAAGCTAATAGAAAGGCTGTGCACCTGAGTGCGCCTGCGTCAAGCCTATGCTCCAAAGTACATTGCGGATCGACTGGTCGTGCGCAGAGTCAGCTAGCTTTGGCTTTCTTCAGGCTACAGGCGTCATGTTCCTTGCGGGTTCAAGTCAGGTGAAAATGGTTTGGATTCGGTTGGGATCTGGCAATGTCACGCAGCACCTGCTGAATCAGCAGCGGCAGGAGGCAGAGTCTACATTCGACATCTATTGAACACGAATGATCCAAGAACAGTAAAGGATGGACAATCGAAAAGGCTGCTGGAGAATTCAAGCGTCTGCTCCATTCCCCTCAAAATGTGTACGATTGAACATCCCCCTCCGAGTGATGGCGATTGTAGGTGCTGCTGTTGGTTCCCACTACGCGAACTGCTGCCTTGATGCCACTCTCGAAGTTATCATACCACGCAGAATTCAAGTTCCTTTGATCATGTTGGAGGCATCACGCATGCGTCAAACGACTGTTTGCCGTGACCCGCACACACTGAACTGAAACCTCTTCTTGAACATGGTGAACTATGCAGCACCTGTGAAGCTATGCAGGTTTGTACAACCCTACCAGCTCCTTTAATTGAAATCCGCAAACATTCCAAAAACTCTCTGGGCACCAAGGGGGAGGTGCATCACAAAAACATTCGGTATTGCCAGCAAGTGTCCAGTAGAATGGGCAAACAAAGCCTTTTACTGTTGCAGCATGCTTCAGTGCTATACCTGAATTCGCAGTCGCTGACGAGCAGTTATCACATTGACAACATACTCTACAGAATATGGCTGGCTACATCTTTCTCTGACAGGACGCTTGACAACTAAGAGTCATAATGAACCGTTGGAGGAGATCGGGCAAGTCTTGATTAAGATTTGTGTCCATCAAGTTTTTGATATAAAAAGAAATTCCACGATGTGGGGACTGTTTGGAGCAGGCAGCCAAACACTATGCAAAGAATGACATCTGAAACCGAGACGCCTGCTTTCACAATATTTCCTTCTTCCACAAAGTAAGCATAAACCCCAATGCCTTGTTCGAAAGCGGAGCTGATGCTCGGGAAAAGGAAAACAGGCCGTGCTCATGCTAGGCTGCTAGGTCAGGTAGGCTTACGTGACATGGAGATGTACCACTGCAGGGTATCCGTCAAATGAAGCACAGTGGCTTAACAAGTACTGGTCAAAGCGACTTTTGCACCGGAAATGCTGAATAGATCAGCCAGAACAGCCTGATCGTGCCAATAGCTCCCCAAAGGACAAACAAAAAACTGCTAATGACCTCCAGCTTGCCGATGCCTGTGTGGTTCAATGCATTGACCCTGTAGCCACTCACACCATTTGCCCCATAGTTCGGTGTCTTGTCCCAATCCTGCCGTGCAAAAGAGTCCATTTCGCTCTGATAGAAGAAAGTGGCTCCTCTTTCTCCGTTCCTCAAGGTTTGGGCTGAGCTGTGACAAACAAGGAACAGCGCATTTTTTCGACACATCATCTTGTGCACAAGAAGGCCAGTGCAAGCCGGAGTTCCAAACAACCAAATCCTTCTCACAATGCTCAGAGAAAAGGCCATAAGACACCACATCATCGCCATTGACCACAACTCCATGGTCACAGTACCTACTACGTCGGCTACGTATGTCATTAAAACAACGTAATCATACATAATCCTTCATGAAAAAGTCAGCGAAAAAGCTGGAGCGAACAAGCTGGCCGGAATGATCGGAAAAAATTGCCCGAAACGTAGAGGATTGGAGTTGGAAATTAACTCCAGCACCCACCGACCTGAATTTTTGTTACTGTAATTAGTCTGTTCTTGAAAAATGCGTTGAGCTCGTGATGGTGCCTGATTGCGCAGGCGCCACAACCATCCTGGCAGCAGTCTGCACGCCAAGCCCAAACATTGTCCAGGATCACGTGGTTGCCACTCACTTCAAACCTTAGCTGCTAGCAATCTATGAGTGGCGATAGTGCAAGTACGCAAGTGGCGCCAATGCGGCAAGTAGCATGGTCTTTGCCGAGACAAGCTCCGTGTCAGGTCCACCAACTCGTGCAAAAACATCTGCAATAAGTCCAGGATTGTTCGGGTTGCCACTGGAAGGCTTCCACCACAGCAACCGCTTTGAATGGATCGGACCGGCTTGAAGCAAGAGTCCTGCTACCCTGACCCCTGTTGCTGCACCAATTTCCACCACTGAGTTGCCATTGGTTGGAACAAGGGTTGCCATGCCCAAGCCCAGCAAAACTTGCTGACGGGCTGACGAATTAAATCCAACCCTGATGGGGGCAGGTAAGTGATAAATGCCTGGTGCCAGAATGACATGTCGGCCTAATGCAAGCTTGGCATTGATCATGGCAAGATCTGTGGCGTTTGTTGCGACAAAGACCTCCTCAAAGTCAACGATCGCCTCTTCCGCATTCCAAGTTACACCACGCGCAGATCTTTGCAGCTGCGGTATTCGAAGACTGTACCTGCCATTGGCATCCTCAGTTTGGAACCCTGCAATGGGGCATCTGTAGTGCAGTGACACTCTGCTTTCCTATGGCCCCATACCGGGAACAAAGTATGCTGAGAAAGGAGAAAACGCGCAATCGCAAAAAAACTGCCACGCTGATCAGCTTAGCATCAATGGTTATGTAAGGTTTGTCCACGATGACCGGTGCATGTGATCTACCAAGCTCTTGTGGGCTGGGGCTGGTGGGGTTGACCGACGTATTTGTGCAGGTTGTCGTTGGAGTTGGAGTCCATCCGCTTGTGCCCATAAAAACAAAGTTTGCAGCTCTGGATGGATCATTGAAGTAGAAGGTGCTGTCCACCTGTCCAAAGCTCTCACAGCAAAGGGAAAGGGAACATGTCCCACCCGATGTGCTGATCTATACAATATAGCCTTCTCCGTGGCCAAAAAAAAACGTCAAAGCCTTCAAGCATGGTATCAAAACACCCTCCTGCCCCCAGCTAGTCACTATGTGGCCCAATCATTGCAACACAGGAGATTGGTCCAACATCAAAAGGTAGTTATGATGAGAGCTCGATCAACAACTGGTTTGAGCACCATTTTGGGTCTCAACATGTCTCAACTCAAAAAATTGCTGGAATCCAGTCCCACCTTGCAGTTCCGTATCATCCACTGCTGTTGTCGCACTAGATCCTCTGCGCAGAACAGACACACCCACAAAAAACACACACACAAGATCTGCCAAACATTATATAACATGACATAATAGTAGCTTCTTGATGCATCAGCCTGGAAGCTATCAAAAAAAATAGAAAACCCAACTTCAGTGCCAAGGAAAGTAGCTAATCGGCCGTCGACCTTCACGTTTGCAACAAAGCCGCCGCTCCCTTCGGATGGTGTCGAGCCTGGGACAGGCAGCTGAGCAATTGGGTCTGTACAGTCAGTCTGTATACAGTAACTATAACAACTTCAGGTGGATGCTTGAATGCAATAGGATTGGGACCAGGATTGTGCTCAACTGTCATTATTCTAAAGGCGCCACCCAATGTCAATGGATTACCCCAAAAGGTCAGGCCACTCGGCCCAGCCACAATCTGCCCAACCTTTCGTCACCTGGCATCATTCAAGCATGATTAGACCAAAGACTTAAGAATTCTTCAGGTCTCAAAATGGACATATAGAATCATGTAAACCAAAAACAGTGTCAGTGATCTTATTTGGTCTGCATGGAGCGCCAGTGCCTAGGGCCTAGGCAGACTGGTAGATTGCAAAGGGCTATATAATGTATAAATGGGAAAGGGTGCAGAGTTGTAGGGATTGAGGCGCTCTGCAGCCGTCTCCATAAAGAGCTGAAGGCGCTTTTCAATAATATAATATAACTTAACCTCCTAGTCCCCCCCATGTTTTGCCATGTCTCGTCGAACAAACTATGCAACCTCCATCTTTTTTTTCAGTCTGAGGAGCCATTGTAGGTGCCAAAAAGCAGGTCTCCTTTGACGTAAGCTCGTCGTAGGGGAGCGGCTTGTGAGACGGACCAAGAGGTGCTTCCGGAGCTGGGCTTGTTGGCAAAATTCTCGGCCGCCTGGCATGAGGTGCTGGCATTCGTGTTTCGTCGTGTTTCATAATGTTGGAGCTGGGCATTCAAGTTGGTCTGGTTTGGAATGCGAAAGACCTCTACATACATGGACGCATGTTTAGCGAGATGTTTTCAGCACTTTCACTGGCAGGTGGCTGAAGCAGGAGTGTGGGCGTGGAGTGCGCATCTAATTTGGCCAGTGGCAGCTTGCACGAGGGCCGTGCCTTCCAGAAAGTGTTGAAATTGTTGTTGTCATCCTCGCTGGGCCCATACAGTCCCCGCGTACCAGTGAAGGATACATCTTTTGGCCGCGCTCCCAGGCCAATGACCTACGCTTTCCAAACAAAAGCCTTCCAAGTACAGCCTGTCCATCACCTGAAAATAGAATAGACCATAAACAGCAACAATTAACCACAGCTGGGCCACTTGGGTGTAGTAGCCCACCGGCACATCCAGCTCATAACGTCCAGGCTTGAAAAGGAAGGCGACACGTTCCGAGCTAAATTTCCCGGTCTCCAGCGGCCCCAGCACGGCAAAGGTGTCCATGATGGTTGCGTTCACTTGTTGGATTGTGTCAGGATTATCATCAAAGACATGCACTGACGATGGCCACTGAGGTGGGTTTTCTTCCTTTGAAGAAGCTTCCTGAGTCGAATGCAAAGCCAGTGGGGTGAACTGTAACGAAGTAACAAGCGTTGCAATTGAAGGGAGGGAAGTCACAAAATGGTCTGTAGAGATAGACTGTTCGCGCAACAGTATCAACCGTGTGTGCAAGCTGTCTACTCGCTTGCACCCTCAGGCCGTGAGAATTTCTGGTATTTCTGATCGGCGAAGCTTCCAACATGAGCTCCCTGTGCATTCCGGCACGCTGAAGAAGGGCCATATCATCTCCTGCGATCTCAATGGTCCGCTCTACAATGTTTCCCCCAGCCTTCAGGCATACTCCTGGAACAACAGGTGATGCAGCTGCAATTGAATACAGCACGCGCTGCTGAGCTCGCGAGAGGAAGCTGAAAATGTGTGGTTAACATTGTTTAACTAGAGCATGGTCAACATACTGCCAAGCTCTTGAATAGATTGCAACAATCCTGGAGAAACAACAAAACATAACAAAACTATATGGGATATAGGGGTTGAACCTTTTATGTAGTGTAGAACATAGAAAATAGAACAATGTGTGATCCTTCCTTCCGCAACACTGATGTCCCAGAGCTTGTCCCTGGCTTCGGGGAAATGAACTGACTTCCAGTTGAGTCCTTCTGCTTGAGCATCGTGTTCACAGGTGGAAGAAGAAAAAGCGTCACTCGCATAGGTGCCGCACCAAGCGAGCAGTTGCACCTGGCTGGCACGAGAACAGCCCATTGAGCTGTCACGTGCCCACACGCGGCAATCTTCTCAATCAGGGTCGCCGAAAAGCAACAAACATGCAAATATGTATGCATATCATGTTATTTTGTTATGCCAAAATGCATAAGCACGCCATACATGGATTGAATATGATTCAATGTGTTTCCCCACAGGCCTGCAAGATCACACTGCTGCTTCTGAGCTTCATGGTGACTCTTGAACAGCTTGAGCCAAAATTCACTTGCTTCGGTTGGCTTCCTTTCGGCGCTCTGCTCACCTGGCCTATGCCTATGCCTGGCTGTGGGGAGTTTCGTAGCACCCATCTTGGAACTAAAGAGCAAAACTGCCTACACCACTTCCGGCGAGGTGGCTATGTATGTATGTGTGTATATGTGTGGGCACATGTTCTCCACGCAGCCCATTCGTGTCCAGTTCAGAGGTCATTATAAATATATATATATATAAGTAAGAGGTTGGAACTGGTTGCAAGTTCTTCAAGTAACGCGTCCAAAATGAAGCATGTGCTCGTCATTTCGACAGCCTGATGTCATGCGCGCACTTAAACTGCTGCCAGCGCATTGGAGTTTCAAACCCTCCCCGGAAGCCGCAAAGAACGGCTGGCCTATTTTGCTCCCTGCACGAAGCAAGCATCGCAGCGATCATTGCCTGGTTCGACTTGAGCAGTTTGGTGGATGCCCTTGATGCACTGGATGCACCAATGGTCAATCTCTATCAAATTGCGTGCTTCCTCACTTCACGGATCTTGGATGATCTTGGTCTTTGCGACTTGACCACCTCTCAGGCCCCATGAGTCTGATTTCATGGCTTCCGCCTCCAAGTCGAAAGCAGTGATTGATGACAATGGTCGCCCAGTTAGAACAAATCAGTTGAAGATTTTGGGATCATTGGGCCACGGCCATCGATTGTGGTAGCTCCAACTGTTCGATCAAATGAATCCATAAAGGCTTGTCGTCTGCAATGGCCCGCCTTTGCAGGGCTTCGGACATGGCCGGGCCGACGTTTGCCTTGGAGAGAGGGGGGGCCACACCCTTTACTTGTTCGTTTTGCTTCCTTGCTATAGGAGCCCCAAGCTACAAAGAAAGAGGGCGGAGACTAGAAAGTACTACTGGTCACTAGTCGCAACTAGGCAAAAGGTCAACGGCGCTCGTTCTCATAATTCTGACAAACCAGAATCGAATTGATGTGATTTACCAACTACACTGCCGTAGAGTCCCATGCGCCGAGCCCGCGCCTTTCAACTTCGTGTGCTGCGTCCGGATTCTAAGAGATCCAGGCGTGGGTCCTGCATGGCTGGAGCTCGACGTCAACATGATGTCGTCAACGGGCTGGCTCGCATGGGCGTAACCACGGCGATACCCCTATCAATCACCTGCCTCTTGCACGCGCAACATAGGAGATGGCAAAGCTCCCGGACCCGGCTGCGACCTGATGGCAAGAACTAGCTTCCCTGGCCACATTCGACAAACAAGCACCTCATGTTGTGTAATGCGGTTGGTGGCTGGAAGATCTTGGCTACAAGTACTGTAAATAGCAAGCGATTTTCTGGCAAGCCGTCGAAAACTACAAGGAGCTATCAAATGATCACAGCATCGCCTGGAATTCCTTTGTACAAAAAGGGGTCTTGGAAAGGCTGCCAGCGCCACTTTGGGCAGTCAGCCACTCAAAAGGCTAAAGAACCCCAACGCGTGTAGATTCCGAAGCACCTGAAAACGCATGATTCCGGGCCAAGCACAGTGAAGCAGCTAGCTCAGCATAGCTCAGCCAATTGACTTTGAACGCCGTCTGGCGGTCCTAGCCACATTGACCTCTGGACGCGTCCAGGCGTGCCGTACACTGGTCAGTGGCGCTACTGTGATCACACCAGGCGAATCCACATCACACTTCACGTTCGCAATCTCGCCCTCTACAGACTGTAGGGTTCCTGTGAACCAGTGCCCTTCATACTCCACCTCAACCCTGTCACCTGAAATAGGTAGTCCATTCAGCCGTCGGAAATGGCTCTCTGGATTGAAGCTTGGGACAGGCTGAAACTCCACCGCCGGCCACTTGGCCACAACTACAGCTTGTGCTGTCTGCCTCTGCACTAGGAAGATTGCAGGTTCTGGAGAGCAAGTCGGTGACACCACCTCTGCACCCAAGAGATCCCATGTGCTGTAGAGCTTCTCCACTTCTTCGTCTATCCCTCTGTCCCCCCTCTCGCGGGCTTGAAGAAGGAGTCCAGAGATCTCCGCCTGAAGCTCGTATGGGACAGATAGCTTCAAGCCATCTGAAAGTTGCCACGAGGCCATTCGATGAAGCAAGACACGGCGGCCTCCAACCTGAACCTCACCCTCGCCATTGCCACATTCGAAAACCACTTGATGCTCCAAGTTCACGGTTTTCACCAGCCATTCAAAGAGGGACCGCAACTCGTGGCGCAAATCGAGTGACCCGCCTCCAGCCTTAATTTTCTGAGGAACCACTGAAGGATCAGCACCGAGTGCCCGTAGCTGAACTCGAAGCTCTTGGGAGCGAAGGCGAAGCTCTTCAATCTCTGCTCTGAGCTTGTCAGCCTCATATCTCTTCAATTTCTTTGCCTCGAATTCAAGATTGCTCTCGGGTAGCGCCAAAGACGCCATTGGCGTGGAGCTCGAAGCTCTCCCCCAATCTTGCAACGCCCTAGTCTTGAGCAATGCATAGGAAAGACTTTAGAACATGTTCTTTGCAGGCACACTCTTTTTTAAACGACTGAGCGTATACATCATATATACATATGTGTATATACTTTGAAGTATACTTTGAAGTATATACTATGCGCAAGACATTGACACGTATGGCAGCTTCTCTTTGTCAAGGCCCTGCCGGTAATGCGGAATCCATGCCTGCCAGGTCTTAACCGTGAACTGCGGAACGAGCCTGCACGGGTTTCAGTTCACACGCACCGGCGGACAAGAAGCATCTATATATGGGATTCTGTGGGCTATTTTTAACTCGCAATGGAAGCCCTAATGTACAGACCTTGCTGTTTTGGTACCGATGTATTTGTTCGAATCTATCCCATTCATTTGAACTTGGTAGCTAGCGATGCCGAAGAGTGCAAGAAGAATCGGGAAGTTTGGCTAGCCATATTATGATGACATTTTTTCAGTTGTCACGTCAAATGCTTGGACCATCATCTTCGTAACACAATTCCAGAAATGGACATGGTCTTGCTACTTGACAGTTAGAGTTGGATTGTCCACCAAGGAGCACTGGCATTGGGCCCGTCAAAGTCGACCCTCCATTCGCATCATTCACCCCCGCTCTCTCTTACCAAAAGCTTCCCATCACAGTGCGGAGCCTGCGATCTTCACAATTCCCTTTGTGGGCAAACATCAAGGGTTGGGTGCAAAAGTTGATTCTGACATGTTCTGGTAATGATGCGGCTTCTCCGCCTCACATCAGTCAACAACCGCTCAAGCCCACAGCAATCCCACTTTGAATGCTTTTGGTTGTTGGTTGACAGGGGCTTGTTCTGTCCGCTCTAGTTGTCTCAAACACTGCATTGAACCCCTCGAGACATTTGTGGATAATGTGTATGTGTTATAACATGATGCAATATAGACTAGTATATTTATGTATTAAAAAAAAAACTATGTATATGCAGGATGTATATATAATATTTGCAAAAAATATATATATATAATACGTATATATATATATATATCGCACCCCCTACAAGACAAACTACATGTTTGGCCACTTGAATCACTTACATCTGCTGCTCACCTCAAACTGTGCAACAAGCATCACGAATCTCAAATGGACTTTTCAACGCCCAAAAAACAAAAAGAAAACTGCAGAAACTATAGTTGACCAAACCCTCGAGAAAAAGAAACAACTGCAAAGACTCCAGAGACTAATTATGGTTGTCCAAAACCTCAGACCACTCCTCAGACCATGTCTGAGACATAGTCTCTGCAGTTTTGATGCCTTTTTGGTTTTCTCGGGGTGTTGGATATGACTCAGCCTCATATGTGGCAACTTGTACACCGAAACCTGTTCAGCCCGTTGCCGGTTCACTGACGTGCTGTCAGTCACCTACTCACGAACATTGCCTCTGTGGAGCCAAACAACATCCGTCTTGGATCTCCAAGTGCGAAGCTGCCATTTCGTCACAGCATCTGAAAAAAATACAAGCACTTTGTCAAAACAAAACATGAAAACATCCTTGGTGACTTAGCACCTCCCATTTTAAGATAGGCCCTGGGCGTTTTACAATTTTTATCAATCAATCACCCTTTTGCGATGTATACTTTCATGATATGATTGGACATGAGATATGTGTGGATGCGTTACTAAGACCATGCCCTGCGGGCCCTGCATCTTAGCCCTATGCCGACTGCAAGATTTTGCCGGCAAGGAACGCTGTTTCAGCATCTTGGATCGCTTTGCATCCTAGGACGGCTGCAACTCCTGGTCCCTCTGGACAATCTTTGTCGTCTTGCGGGGCAGTTGAGTTGAGGTCATCCGCTGAGGTGCACCTGCATGGATCAGAATGAACAATCCTGCTTTGCGTGCGCCCACCCAAAATCAAGTGGTACAGGACCTGTTGACTGCAGAAATGGCAGCTGCTTCTCTGGCCTTGAGTTGGCAGGAGATCAACCAGTAAAAGGATCACATGGACTCTGCACCATCAGGACATGCAGTGCTGATGGACCTGGACAAGAGAAGCTAAGACACTCCGAGTCTGCAGTAAAAGAAACACAGGAATGATCCAGCAGCAGCGGCCATCAATAAGCTGCGGTGCAGGATCTGGATGCGCATTCATAAGAAAACCTGCTGCACCTTCCATCTCATAATGTCCATGTAAGTTCCTGTATGTTCTTGTCTATTACTGTAATACCCGTGCAGCTCGCAGCCTTTACCTTGGACAAGATTCTTACTGAGATCACTGAGTAAAACTCCTTCCATATTGCTGATCAAACTTTGACAGTTCTGATGCCCAGTTCAGCGAAGAAATGCAATGGCACAACGGTGGAGCAAATACACCAGTTGAATAGGCTCCGGTCAAGTAAGTCCCCCGGCAGGTTTGTGCAACTCAAGCCGTGATTCCTCCAGCTCAACTGGTGGAGTCTTATGAGAGTCAATGAGGGGAGCAGGAGGTGGATTTGCAAATGACTAAACTTGAAGCGATCAGTGAACATCCAGAGTGGAGCATCTGACGCATAAAGTTCCAGGGGTTCCAGGGTATGGTATTGCCCACTGTGGCCCGCACGAAAACATTGACCTTGGCAAGGTCATTTGCTTAGTCCGCTCAAGCTGAGTGTTGGAGGGCAACTTCAAAAGATACAGTTCGTGTTTGTATTGGCTTTGCTTTTGACCTGCATGATTATTAACCTAGAAAACCAAACAGGCCCTAGTACCCTAAACAGGCCGTAGCCCTTCACTGTCATGTGTCCATTTAAATTTACAGCACAACTGTATGCAACTTTGATGTGGAACATTGCCAGCGGTGTTCATGTAAATATGAATGCAAGTTTGCATCAAATAATATACATAAGCATGTCTTCAGCCCTCCGTTTTCCCAATCTCAATCTCCAAGTTTCTTGCACTACGTGGCAGGTTCTATGACTCCCTGTGCCATGGCTCAACCACGAATCTCCTGATCTTTTGTATCAATAAACAATGAGTCCACCTCAAAACAAACATGAAAGGAAGTGAAAGCAAATCATTGCCAGAGCCTTCAGAGTAGGCAACGTAAATTTGTACAGTACTGTACTTAAATTACATCGGAAGAGCAGGAAATGCTCAAAGTGCCACCTCACACCATTGTAGGGCCGCAGCTTCTAGATTCTAGAAACCTTTGATCCGACATGATCATGCCCCAACCAAACCTACTCTAACTGACAAAACTCCAAATGCCACGCTGTACTTTCACGACTGAAACCAGGAAAAAGTTGAATGCCAAGTGTTGCATTTATTCTTCGGACAAGACGAGACGTCCCAGAAAGAAATCCTGCAGTCTGGCACCTGCAGCACCAACGAGGACTCCATATCAGCGCTCAATCGCACCGTGCTTTGCACAAAGGAGCATCCAGCGGAGTTGTAAACGGTGAACACACTTCAGAAGAACATCTGGCAACGCCGAATGCTACATTCCACAGAGGGTAGTGATGAGGGATTGTTTTAGGTTCTTGTTGTATGGGGTTGAGTTGTGGCAATGATTCAAATGAAGGGAATTGACCATCACAAACACCCATGAGGTGCTGACTCTTCATCGCCATGTCAATGTCTCTCTTTTGTCGACAAGCTGGTGACGAGCTTGAAGCTAAAATCCAAGTGGTCAGCTGTTTCTTGTGAATGAATGGTCAAGAAACGCCGTCTAGTCTGACTTGACCACCGGATGTATATATATAGTCTAGTTTACCTCTCTACCTGCAAATACTTACTCTCACGTCACATGTCCGTCGAGTCATGTCTCGTCTCAGTCGGCAAAGACCGAATTGATGGCTTCTTTGAGAGCCTGGACTGCCTGCATTGTGGGATGGGGCCTTGAATACATGGGTATACCCCTCCTGAAATAATCATAGAAGTGGAAAACTACCTGTTTGTAGAGAAAAATTGCCATCCAGCAGGCCCTTTTCCACTTCCATGAATATTTCAGTGTACGTATAGCTATCAGCTGGATGATAAAGAAGAAAAACGGAGCCCTTCTTCATCATCCCACATGTCTTCCCTTTTGTGGCTTGTTTTGGCAATTTAAGATCCCTTTCCGATTCTTTCTCGTCCTCAAAAGATTCTTTCAGCCTGACCCCCTCATGGATGACTCAAAGTGCTTCTGAGTTTCGCTGTGGTTTACAGAATCTCTCTCTGTGTGCGGGTGTAAAAATATGCCTCTCATTGTCTCCAGGTCTGGCGAGATGCGGTTTAACTTGACTTCCACGTACCCTCTCCACTTCACTTGGGTCAATACACACTTGAGTGCATGAAGCCCTCCACATTACTGGTCGCCACATTGGTGGCACCAGCTGCACTAAGACTATACTACTCACCGCCAAAGAGAATCTCCTCCTTCACAGTCTCTACTTCACCAGAGGCAACGATGGTTCCTGGACAAGGGTCCAAAAGCATGTCACTACCCCACCAGCTGCCTCTGTCAAGAAAGACATGTACAGTGTTTGGCATGCGTAGTAGTGCCTTGAATCAGCCCTGTCAACATACCGCAGAGAAGAATTCAACATAATCCCAGCCTCATTCCATGTGTATATATATATATAAAAGCAAAGTTGTTCAATCCATTGTGCAATAAACATCAAATGGAATCCTTCCGAAGCAACATCCCAATTTATACACATGGGTAAGAAGCAAAAGGAGCTAAGTGAGTGAGTTTATTCAGAGAAAAAACACACACACACACACACATATATATATATATATAGTCTACATATACCAACATGATCCAACATGTTGGAATATCAGTCCAGCGGTGGCAGAAGCGAGTTCATTCCCCACCCAACGACCCCTCCGACTGTATTGTCACAAATGCTCCCCCCAAACTGAACGGTCAGCAAACTTATATTGTTTGCATCTTCACTGGCTTCAGCGAAGCTTTTTGACATTTCTTGGACAAGACTTGAGAAGACTTGAGAAGAAACGTGGGCCAACAAGCGGATGCCACATCGGTCAACCGCGCCAAGTCAAGTCCTGGAGGTAGGCTGCTCACTTCCGAACGGTGGATACAGCGCCACCTCAGACGTACCAAAGCTCCGGTCCAACATGACCAATATGATGTCCTACAGTCGTTCCCATGGCTTGCTCTTTCCCAAAGCCACTTGGGCTCTTGGTCTTCATTTCAGTGCCTGTGTTCAAACATGCTGCGAAGAATATGAGCTGCCCAGCCAATCCGATGTCGAAGCACGTACACAAACCTCTTCAGGTCTTTCACCTCCACCTTGGTCACTGGTCTGGTCGCGAGAACTAAAAACCTATAGCCTATAGCACTGCACGAGTTGCAACCTGCAGCTGTTCATTTAACATGAAATTTTGGTACATGCAATTCTTGCACGCAAACACCAGGATATGGGCAGCGGCATGTGTTTTGATGACCATATGGCACTTGCATCCTCACGACACAGGGGACGTCATGCAGGGATGGCACAAGGTGACCCCAGCGAGCTACCTCTGAAACCGTTTCATCATTGCTGAGCAAAATGTAGCAAAATTATCTTTATGAAGTTCAATCCCGGCCTCATCAGCAAATCTGGATCAAGAAAAAAGGGCAATGGCAATGGTCCGAACCTGAAGCTCCCTCCATTGAAGGGAAAAGATTAAGTTTTTCTTTGCAGCGTGTTGGAGTGCAGAAGCTTGAAGCAGCTCCTCCGCTGAACAGGAGCATCCAAACAGTTAGTCACAGTTAGTGCAGGAACACATGTGTACCTGTCGGAACTTCAATCACGCCAAGCTTTCGGCTGCGTGGTCTCCCCATCTGTAGAGCCAAAACCTCACAAAACGAGTCTCATGATATCTCATGAACCTTCCGGGCCAAAGCAAACTTGTACATCCCGTGCGCTTCCCAAACCTAACTGCCTGAGGGCTAAGCCCACCCACTGAGTCCAGAAATTGAAAGAAGTCCTGCCAGCAAGACTTTCAGGACACCAAGAATTTCAATACAATGTTCAAGTCAAGCTTGCGAAAAACCAGGCATTCTTGCGAGTGCTCGAACGGGCCACTGCAAGCAATTCCGACGATGGAACAAGCAACATCCGGCGACAGCAATCATGGGTTGCTTTGGACCAGGTACGAGTAGGTGTAAAGTGAATTGGGTGGCTGGATGCTTCAGGTGCCTGGTACCTCTCGCTCTGAAACCACGACAGCTTTGTGATTTCGATGTCATTCCTCATGGATTCATGAGGGACAGCAATCCAGATGTCGCAGAGATGGCGCAGCACACGTCACAAACAATTGGGGCGGCTCAGCTGCCTGAGGCCACTGCATGAAAAGCACCCGATTCCATTCGTGCCAGTAGGTGTCCCGCAAAACCAGTGCATCCTTGCAACATCAACTCTTTGCCAGCTCGGAGACGGCGTTCCGTCCAGAGGGATCACAAAACAGAAGCCGCAAAAGGCTTTACTGCTCTTATTCTGGTAGTTCGGTAGTTCGGTAGTTTGTTCAAGACTTGAGGGGGGGCAAGCAATCCAACAATAATTAACCTCACGAAGGACCACACACGCAAGTTATATAAACTGAGAAGCGAGAATAGGTCCGAGATCACCAACACATCCAAGACCGTAGCACAAGGAAGAAAAGACGGGTAAGCAAACTCTTCCAGTCAAGATCGGCTAAAGGATGCAAAGTTGAGTCGTGAGCTGTGAGGCGTCGCATCATCTTCGTAGCCTTTGCATCGATGCCTTTGGACCTGAAAATGGCAGTCAATGCAAATGCTGGCACTGACCGAACTGCCATAATGATTCTTCAATGGTCCCAACTGACTTGGCACAGGCTTGATCTGGTGTGGTCTGTCAGACGTTTAAGTAGATGATGTGCTTCGGTCTTTGGTGGCCAAAAGCAACTAAGGAGCTCAAAGTACAAGCGACAGAACTCCCAGAAATGCTGGACCTGAGCGAGCAGCCTACAGCCGACTCTGAAGAAACTGCTGAGGTTATACAAATCGGCTCGACCAGGTCTTTAGTCAAACGGAAGGAGAACACTCCTTTTCGACCTGCTTCTATGGTGAGCACACTCCTTTGAGGCACTCTGGCTGGCCATGCAGCAAATTAAGCCCATGGAGGCCTCTAGTGGCGTGATTTCACGTATTTGTACAGCCCCCCCTGCCTGATATGGTGCATAGGTCTGAGGTGCATAGCCCTGCGGTGCGTAAGCCTTGGCGACAGGCTTAACAGAAAGTCTTACAAACTGGAAACAATAAACAAAATGAAAATAGGTGCTCATCACAGGTGACTTTAGCTGGCAACATTATACAGCGCGTCCCTGCTGTGACAGTGAAACCCGCCTTGCGAACAACAATGATTCTGGGCTTCCCCCGAATGTCCACAAGAGCTTCAAGTGTATTGTGTGTTTGTGCTCAGCCTCCACATCAACCTTGGACATGTTGCGCCTAGATTCTAGAGGCCTAGGCTAAACCAACCCAAAAATAATTGAAAAAAAACGGCAGTCCCAGCCAATCGAGGCAGCCTGTGGCGGAACTCGAGTCACAAACGGATCCGCTTCTTCTGGCGCTTCCACAGCTTCTTCTACAGGCATATACCTGCTGGTCTTTTGTTTCAGAGCTGAAAGTTGCCTGTAGCCACACCTGGGCAGTTGCGGGCATTCAGAACCGCTGACGTATTCTATGTTTACTGTAGTGCCTCCGGAGCCATATACAACTAAGAATTGTAATTATATAATTGATCATAAGCCTCAAAAAGCAATCATTGTTCCAGGAAACCATGCAGCCAATACTGCCCAGGCTGAACAGCCAAGGAGTTGCCATTTCCATTGGCCAGGAACTGCCAACATCTTTGGGCAGTCACTGCCATCTGATCGCTTTCCATCACCTTCGTTGCCAGCCGTGGGGTCCAAATATGTATCCAAAATACATCAAAATACTCCAGGAACAAAAAGTGGTTATTGGTTCAATGTGCGGGATACGATGGCATTCCATGCCTGCCACCAATGCTCCCAAGGCTACCAGAACAATGTAAGCCACCAGCACCATCACTGCAATGGTCGGTCGTTTGCAGCCATGCAGTGAAGCTGCCAGCAGTGCACAAGCACCATACCACGGTAAAGCGCTCAAGCCCAACGGGCCCAGGAGCACCAAAGCCCCCAATGACCAGGGTGCCCCGTGCTGTGGCAAAACAGGCAGGTCCAGGCTGTGACTCAGGAGACTTCCAATGCCCGTGACCACCAAATAACCTATCAGAACAGAATCTTTTGCTTAAAGCCCGCTCCCCTCCCTTCCTACTTAATTAAGTAGGCACCTACTTAATTAAGTCAGGGAGAGGTGGCTACTAGCATGGACGCAGGATAGCTCACGCATGCTCACGCTAATGATTTGGCTCCCAAATGTTTAGGGAAACTTAACTTTGGATTCTCTAAGCTGTTACTTTGTGGTACTTTGTCATGACTCATGACATGAAACACATCAGTTACAAATCTTGTGATCATTCTGCAAGTCATTGCCCCTGTGGTTCACGTGTATGGCCTGAGTCGTGTGGTGCATTTCTACCTACAATGCAACTATCTGACTGCACTCGCAATTACTATACAGTGCAACGAGAATCGAGTGTGTATTGCATGTGGTTACGTCATAAAACGAACCGAGAATAAAAGAGAAGCAAGGTTGCTAAGGTCGAGCGGCTGCCGAACAAGGGGGGCAAGAGTCGCCAGCAGCGGCTTCCGCCAAGAGGTGAAGACCCAAACTCCGAAGGCGCTGCCGGCACAGTACCAACTCAACGCAAAGCCGGGCAGAGCCCCATCAGCAGACTGGGCCCAGCTGGCAATACCACAGTAAACCTCACAAGCTCTTCATGATCATTGGCATGTCCAATTCTTCTATAATCAGCGGCTTACAGAATCATGTTTCTTCATCTGAGAGTCCAAACTACAGCAAATCATAGCAAATCAAATCAATTCAGTGCCAAACCAGGTCATCAAAATGTTGCCATTGAAGGCAGAAACGGCACCCAAAAAAGCCCAAGACTGCGCCAATGAGCACCTGCAGTTTGAATGCACCAAGTTGTCTTGATCCCATCGAGCTCCAATTATGGCATAAGCTCGTGAATGAAACTCAAAGTGAAACTTGGATGTCCTATCCCTTGTTGCCCTTTATGCTGAGTGAGCTGCTGACGACTTGCAGTTCCAACATATTCAATATATGTTCGAACTTTCATTCCACGGACCTGCGATCCTTCGAAACCGCTGTGGGCTGCCAAGGCTGCCGTCCCTCCAGCTGCCAGCATCAATAAGAGCTGTCCGATCAGGTTCGGGGCCAAGTTCCAGTGCTCTGCCTAGCTCTCATGGGTAGGGTCTCCAAAAAGGGCCACAAGCAGCAAGAACGCGTGGCATTGTTGCACTATGTTGCACTGGTCCAGAATGTCCAAGAAAGGCTCATCAAGAAGTCTCAAAAATATTTTGTCTATAAGCAATGCCCTTGCTCCTAGTAGCGATGCCCTTATGTCTACGTAGTAATCTATGTAGAAGGCACGCTCATTGTGCACTGGACCTGACTTGGCACTTCCAGCCTCGAAGTGCACGAGCCATGCGGTGCCCAGGGATATTCCAGCGATGACAATATTTTCCCACAGCTTGGGGCCATCCCACGAGCAAAGACCGCCACAAAGTAGGGCACCAAAGGCAATTGTCACCTGCCATCACTGTGATTCTCCACTTCCACAGAAACAGCTTTCAGAAGCCCATCACTTCTCGAGGGCCCCTCCCACCTGATACGAGCTGTCTCTCAACCACTCACCGAAATGATTGCCATATTGCAAGGTCGGTGAGGTCTTCAACACCTCCTCGTGGCATCGGACATGCGCAGCTACAGGTTTCTTGATCAACTAGCAGAACTCAGAACTAGCATAGTTGGCTCGTTTCTCACACCCATCCGGTGATCCGGTGTGAGTTCAAGTGTTCCAGCACTCCTGACAAAGCTCCTGCGCAGTGGCGCCTGATGTCGGAGCCACCTGCAAAGCATCGAAGATGATAACAGAACCTCTGACAGAGTTGAACATGCTCGGCTTCAGATCGATGGATCCATATGATCAAGCCGCAAAAAATGGACTGCCATGCTTTAATAGACTAGACTCCAGACCTTTGATATCCTTTGATGGTCTTTGACGTATGAACCTGTATGAAGCTATACCAGGACAAGTCCTCTCAAAAAGAATGACCTGGTGCTAAGCTGAGCAAACCCTACAAACAGGCCTGGCGTGGCTCTTCTATTGTGGAGTGGACTGGTGCCTGGAAACGATGCTCCGCCGCAAATATCTCATCTCATCATAAGATATCATAAGTATCCAATAATATCCCGATCCTAACCCCTGTCATTCCTGACCTGACCTTGAGGAAGCAACAAACAAAAGCGTGCATGTTGTGCCCAAGTCTCTCTGTATGTTGTGTCTCGAACAGCTGAGTAGTTCAGTCTTTCTAGCTCAGCTGGAGGGTTTGGGCGCCGCTCTAGTAGATCTGCAAGCGAGGGCAGCTTATCATCTCCTGCAGCACCGAACCACGCAAGCTGACAACTACCAGGCTACCAATCTGCCAGGTATGGGGGAAAGCATGAGCAGTCGGCTGACACAGACCGCAAAATTTACACAGTAGTGAAGTGGTGGGTATACGGTATAGTGTATGTTGCGCTGGGGGAAGGCTTGAAGCACTTATTCAAACCTGTGCAGGATTTTCAGGATAGTGGTTATTCTAATGTCGAAGGACAAAATCGTTTGCCGCCGCAGAATCATGTGGAATCGCCTGAACTCACATCTTAACATCGCCGAGGCTGATTATGGGAAAGCCCCAATCCCTTTCCGCTACCTGAGCTCTACCAAGTGTGCCTGCTCTGCTCGCACTTCTCGAACATCTGCACTCCACTACATTCTTCATGATGCAAGCGAAAGAACATCTGCAATTGTTTGCCCATGTCTTATAAGTTCTTGCCTTTCTTATCGTTGTTTTGGTACGGTTGTTGCATGGCGTAGTCATAGTTGTCATTGGCTCTCTCTCCCCCCTCTCATGGCATTGGTTAGTAACCTACGTCTCAAGATGTCTCAAGTACTGAAGCCCATGGGCCCCATGCCCTGTCCTTGGCCATTGGCAACGCTCAAAAGGGCCACCCATCTTAGCCAGTACATCTCAACATTCTGGTGCCGTCAACTCGAATTAGCTGAGCGGCTTTCTGGCTCATGTGCCTTGAGCCATTCAACGAACGTGTGCTTTTCTCAGACCCCACCCTTAGAAAGCGCTGGTGAGAAACATATCTTCTCAGCCTCAGAGGCTTATATAAGCCGTACAAAGGGAATGACGGTGCGTAAAATTTCCGGGAATTCCTTCCAACCAGACCATGGCCCGGGGGGTGGGCCACCTGCTCCACCACGCGTGGCGGCTGACGGCCCACTGAAGGTGAAGTACATGGCTCAAATTGTTCCCACATCGTGCCAAGAGCAATGCTCTTGATGACATGAAAAACATGCAAAAAAAAAACTCATGTTGGTGCAAAGCCACGGTAAAAGTAAACGTTGCCGGAAAACCTAATGGAAATTACAATTTCTGCTTTGGAATCGGCTCGATTCAAACGGCACGAGGAGCGAGAGCGAGTTAGGCACGAGTTAGGGGAGGTCGGCAGAGGGTTGACCCAAGCAGCAAACCGCAAACCCAGGACCCACCAACAAACATTAGGCCAACCTTTTGGCATCGATTCACTTTTTTGGAGCGACATCTGAGACTCCCTGCAGCAGAAGCCTGGTCTCTTGACACATGTGAATAGCCGTAGACCTGCCAGTTTGCAGCATTCTATCAGTTTAAAGCGGCACTCAGGATCCAGTCAACATGTGAGGGACACATCCAGTCTGTCCACCTGCTATCGAATCCAGCATATAATGCATATTGAACAAGAATGAGTTGCACAGGCAGCAAGACCATGAATCTACATGTTGCTAGTGGAATGACTAAGGGTGGCAGTGCGGCCCGGTCTTCACGCCACATCCTCAACATTTGCAGAAAGGTGCCTTCTTCCAATGTGCGTGATCTCCGTTCGGCTTTCCCGCAGCATCATGTTTTTGTTTGTTCTATTTTCGCTTGTCTCCGCTGAGGCGTGTTGCCGCTCAAGCGGATCCGAGTGGAGATCTGCAGGAAAATAGCCATCCGTGTCCAAGGTCCAAGCCTCGCACGAGGTAACACCAAACAGGGCGGCATTTGTGGTGCTTGTTGATGTACATCTTGGCTCATGTAAATGCATACAGCACCTTATGTACATGGTTTGACTCGACAGATTTGTGCCCAAGGCGCCTGCGGTATCGTGTCATGTGAAACATGTTCTACACTTGATCATAGCCATAAGGCCGTGAGGCATGAACTCAGAATTTCACTCCGGTCATCCTCTTGTTTGCCGCTCTGGGCTTGCTTGGCTTTTCGCCGAAAAAAATGCTCAGCCGCAACAGCTGCTGCATTTGCCAAAGGCTTCTCTTGGCCTCACATGTTCGCCCTCTCTCAGATGTGGACATCCTTCTCGATGGAACTTCTTGCCAGTCTTCGTGATGAAGATGGCTTCCGGCAGCTCCAAGCTCTTGATGCGAGCCAGGTGTCTCATGATCTCCTGGTCCTTGAACTTGACCATCTTCTGCAGCTTCTCGATCTCGCCGGCCATCTCGGCATTGTCAGTGATCCTTGGTGTCAGCGGTGCTGGTCTCTCTGATGATGCTGCTGTCTTTCTGTCCAGCTTCATCTTCAATTCGGCATTCTCATCTTCAAGCTTCACTAGTCCAGCTCTCATGTCGCTGACCGTAGATTCGAGCACCATTTTCCTTGCATTGACCACTGTCATGTCATTCTTGAGGTTCTTCAGCTCGAAGTCCTTGTCATCGTACTTCTCCTCAAGCTTCTCATATTTATCTTTCCACCATTCATTGTCAAACTTGAGGCTATCGATCTCCTGTTGCTGTAGGTGGGCATCTTCTTCGCTCTTCTTGTTCTTTCGCTTCCGCGTCTCCTTCTCGTCAATGACCTTTCGTGCAAGATCTTCCCATGTGTCTCGAGGACTTGCTTTCCTCTTCCGTTGGAAGGATGCTCCTGAGGATGATGGTTGATCTCCTTCTTGATCGACATCCATGTCATCGTCGTCGTCGGACTCGATCTTCACATGTTGGATTCTTCTCTTCTTGCTCATCCAACTTGTCACCATTCTCTCAAGCATCACCGCCAAAATCACCGTGATGAAAATCATGAGGTACACGGAGAAGTAACTCTTCTGTTCTTGATTCTCCGGTTCAGTGGATTGCGCATCCACCAAAGTTCCAAATGCTAAAGTCGGCATCATTGCTGCCAGCATCTTCTTGGAAGTGGCAAACGCTGCCAGTCCCACAAGCACTGAAGCATGCGTTGTTCGCACCATGCTCTCATCCTTCTCTGCCTTCAGGATCATCTCCTCGTCCTTCAGCATAAGGTCGTGCTCGTCAAAGTCGATGGTCGGAAGAACCCTTGTCACAATTGGGTGCTTCTCCACTCCATGCAGTCTGATTAAACCTGTTGTCAACAACATCAGCATCATTTCATGGACCATGGACTTGGTGAGGGAATCGGCAAGCATGTAGTTCGTTGGGACCAATGTCACCATTCGAACTCTGCCATCCAATCGTGCTTCCTTTATGGACAAAACATAGAGCCGCTGTGTCTTGTCCTGAGGCATCGTCTTGCTGCCTGTGATGAGCTCATAGACATCTCGAGCATCTCCATACATGTCCAAAGGCATCTCTGGATTTCCAGCCGTCTGGATCTTGATGAGGTCCTTCAACGATGGAGGATGTTGCGGATGGAGCATCTCGCTGAGCCTGATCATACACAATGTTGCAGATTCCAAGGCGTTCACCATGGCTAGTGTCTCACCATGTGATGTGCTGTAGCTCACCCTCTTGGCTTTTGCTCCATGTGAATGCAAAACATGCATCACTCCTCCATGCATGAGCTCGTGCTCCTCAGTCTCGCAGGTGTGCTCAAAGTCAATCGTGATGTTCCGCCATTCGTCATCGGCCAAAGCAATGACTACACCTTCCTGGGCATAGTTCCGGCCCTTGCTGGCTGCCGAAGCATCATGAAAGCAAACTAGTCGTCGATGCTTTGTCCTGAAGTAGCGGTAGCGCAAACCAACATCTGCAAACTCTTTCACCTTCGTGAGCACATTGTTTGCCTGCTTCAAATCCTTGACCTCTGCTACTGTCACTCGTGATTGTAGTGCTGAAACATCCGCAATCACGTCCAGCCGTGTCGCTGTCACCCAAAGAAGTGCTCCTAGGATGGATCGCAGATCTGAGACTTCTGCTGGTGTCAATCTGGAATCATCTTCTCTTGCAGGGACAGGTGCAGGTGTAATCTTTTCTGAAAACTCCTGCTGGCTGATCATGTAGCCGTCTGCAGTACGAAGGTACTCACAACCACAATGAGTGAATGGCAATTGCTGTCGTGTCACTTTGCCAAACTTCTTGACAAAGGAATCATATGCATCGTCCAGCCACTCAGGCGTTCCAGTGATCGCCAAGTCATCCACATGCGTCGTGACCATTGCAATATTCTCACCATCCTTCTTCCATGTCCAACAGTTCTCATCTAGGTGAGATGGTTCCGCGCCGCTTTCTCGGATGAAATCATGTAGAGAAAACTGCCAAGCCAATGGAGCGTCATTCAACCCATAAACAGGCTTCAAACATAGCAGTCCATAGTTGTGCAACTCTCGTTCAGGAACCTTGAACTCGTCAGAGAATTCCGCCAGATGTCGCCAAACATTAAGTGGAGGAAATATCACCACCATGCGGACAGGCGCTTGAATGCCTTTCTTCTGAAGGGTCTTTCGGATCTTCTCAAAGTCAAAGCCCTTGAGAAATGCTCCAGCAATGTCCAAGCTTTCCAGGCTCATCTTGCGTGACCATGATGCTCTGGATACCAGGATCCTTTGGCTTAGCCTTGTCGCAGTCGTTGACCTTGTCGTGAGCTCTCCTTTCTGTCCATCCAAACAACCACGCGCACAAAGTCGAGACTTGATGCGAATGCTCTTGTCAGGATAGCGCTTTCGCTTGCGAACCCACCGTGCATCAATCTGCACGTACTCTCCTGTGATCTTCATCTTGTGGATCTTTGCGAATGCTTTCTCGTCAACAAACTGCTTGATCTCGTTGCGATCAGCTTCTTCAACAGCAGGCCAAATGTCGGCCGTGATGTCTGCTTCTTCAATGTTGCGAGTCTCCTGATCTACCTGGTAGATCTCTGCAGTTCTGAGGCATGCGTATGCTTGATGCGTCCTTTTGTAGTGGAAGTGGAACAATTGAGGAAGCTTCTCTTTCTCCCGGAGATGTTGTTCCACCATGAACTGATTGCATACCTCTGACCACATGTGACAACCTGTCAACCAATCATGTCCACAATCGATCTGAATGATGTGGTTCTCAGTCATGTTGACACGCAAGTGTCGTAGAAAATCGAGCTCTTTCTTCACATTGTATATGCGCTGCCTCTTCTTCTCAGGTGCCATGACCACTGTTCTGGTCTCTGGTGCATCTCTCTTCTCGCCTCTGTCATCGGGAACGTTGACGTCCATCTTGTCGTCATCCTTATTGATGGTCGACTGACTTGCTGGCTCTTCCACAGGATCAGGATGATAGTGGAACAAGTAGATGGTGCACATCTCTTCACGAGAGTAGTTGGAAATCCTCTTCATCTTCAAGAATCCGTCGGAGAAGTGCTCTTGCACGGCGTAGCCTTGTCCTCCATGAATCCATGAGATGAGATGACCAACTGTGTTCGATGGAGGCTTGATGTTCCGCAAGCTTCGTCCAAGTAGAACTCCATGGACTTGATGCTTGCTCAAACCTTTGTAGATGTGCTGCACCCACAACATGATCTTCCTTGCATGATCATCCTCACGAGGGAAGAATCGCCACTTGCCATTTCTCTTCAGCCAACCATAGATGTTCGTCTTGTATTCTGTGAGGCTTTCGACAAATCTCATCAACTTCCTCAAGGCATCTTCTGTCTCCATGTTCGGCAAGGTGAAGTGGAAAATGCCCTTATAGGATCGGATGTGTCTGAGTGCTACCAGATATGGCTTTCCTTGATATTGGATGATTGCCACACCGTCATCAGCGTCCAGTCGTAGCAACAAAGCAGGTCCACGCCAACCAGGGTCGTTCTTCACCTCTCTATAGAATTCAACCTCTGATGTACCAGCAATGAGCTGGTCGAGGTCGAGCTGGTGTGTCCTGGTTCTGGCTGCTCGTGCTACACGATCTTCAATCACAGCTTGATGAGCTTGTGCAAGTGCTGTTTGCCGGATTCTCATCGCCTTCTCAAAGACAGTGACATCTGTCTCCTGGGCTCCAACAACACTCATAATGCCACGGCTCTCAGGATCATAGAAGCCATTTGGAAGAGTGCCAAACACTGCCATGGATGGTGTCACGCCACCGTAGGACAGGGTGATGTTGTGAGCCATGCAGCTCTCCTGAGCTATCTCTTCATTCTCTGGCGCGAGGCCTTGTCGTTGAAGTTCTGCTCGTAGCTTGTACATGGTGAGCTTCATCAGACCCACATGTCGTTCCACCAAGCCAGTGCCAGTGTGCTGTTCGGCTCCATGTCCTTGTGTTGTGCCACGTGGCGCACGCTCAATGGAGAGTCGTTCAAACTCTGCTGCAGTCTCATGTGACATCAAGGATACTTGTTGATCGAGAACAAGTCGTCGAGGTGGTCCAAATAGAAAGATCCATGCCTTCTTAAATGCCGTCAGCAAATCGTCAGATTCTTGTCCTTCAATCGTCGTGCACATTTTGAAGCGAGTTGCTTCATCACAAAGAAGCATGAACCAGGTGTTCTCCCACATGAATAGGTCCATCTGTACTGATTCATTGAAACTGCTTGCTCCTCGTGCTCGAACTTGTGGACGATTGGGAAGTCTGACATACTTCCTGCAGATGGCACAGCATTGAACCGCCTCAGTCGCCAACTTGATGACTTCAGGTGACATTCCAGCTTTCTGCAGTAAGTTCGTGAAGTCGGAGATCGGAGAATGCCAAAGCCGCTCGTGAAGACCAAGTAGGAGGTGCTTGACCTTCGTGTGGTTCTCGTCTTCCATGAGCTTAGGAATGCGAACCAACACTCTTCGCAAGTTGTAGTTCGGCTTCAATGGCTTGATCTCCTCAACTGACTTTGTCTGCAGTTCCTCATCTTCATAAGGTGCAATCTGAGTTGGATCTCGTTCAGCTGGGTCTCCTGGTCGATCGAGTATTACTGGAGGTGTCAAAGGTGCTCTCTTGAGATCAGCTATGCTCTTCTCATCCATCTCGTCGAGGTTCTGGGCAGGCTGCACGATACCGGGTTCGTCAGGTCTTGTTCTTGGCCTTGATGCTGGTGTTGATGGCGAAGGTGCCATATCGTGCTCCACTCCATAGATGGTGATTGCCCAGTCATCCTCGTCGAGTGCTGCGTTGATCTGGCTGAAACTCATCTCTCGCAAATCTTCTGGAGGGTGAATGTCCCATGCTTTCACATTGCCTCTCACTTGCATCCGTAGGTATGATGATGTCAATGGAAGCTTCGGCTCTGCTGATGCAAGATGGAAAGGTCGGAGTTCAATCTTCACTCCTTTGACTTGAATCAAGTCCTTGAAGAACTCCTTGAAGAGGCTCATGAGCATAGGGTTGTCCAGCCAGTGAACATAGTCGATCTTTCTCCTTGCTGCTTCATTGAAGACACCCATAGTGGCATTGATGGTTTCGAGGAGGAGCTTCTTGAGCATGTGTGTAGTTGGCACGGAGAGCGCTTTGCTGGTGAGGTTCTTGATCTCCACGCCCTCATAGAGCTCCGCCTCGGCCTCTTGCTTCCACTTCTTCATGGCATCCATTTCAGCTTCAAGCTTCTTCTTTCTTCGTGGATTTTCTTCGGATGGCCATCGTCCATGTCGACACTGTCCCGGCACCAAAGTGTGCTCTATATTGCGGGGACAATGACGTCCAAGCTGGCATCGGACACAATCATAGTAGTGACCAAGCGTCACTGCGTAAGCATCATGTGGCCAAATTTTCAGCTTGAGTAGGTTCATGTAGGCCAGGTACTGGATGATGTCCCTGGCACATTCCTTTTGGGTAAACTGCTGACATCGAAGTCCTGGTCAGACCAGATGGGCCTGTGCCTTTGAGCTGAGTGTGTGGAACACCGCAATGACCTCCGCATCGAAGTCCAGTGTGCTTCCAACGAATGTTGGATCCAAAGCCAGTGGGCTTCATGATGGGGTAGCCGTGTTCATCTTGAGCTCCATGCATGCACTGGTCCACTCTCTGTCTGCTCTTGTTGCCAGGAATTCGTTGCAGTCGTAGAGGATTCTCTGGAAGTTCTTGCCATGATTGTGCTCCATAAGGTTGTTCTATGTTGTAGCCGCGGCCATTGGCATCTTGTCGTGCAGAAAGATCTTGACATAGTTGTAGAGCAGGTCTATCTTGTAGACGTTCACACATCTTCTCATCAGGATCTTTCGTAGATGCCGCAACTGACCATGGTGCACAGTCCGGAGACATATGAAGCACTCCAGGTTGGAACTCTTCGTAAGCTGCGTGGATCATACCACGATGGCTTGCTACCCGCATGTCCCAGCCGTACCGGTAGTCGACGGGGAAACCAACCATGAGTCCAGCAAGAAGCAACGTCAGCGACAATCTTCCACTGCCACTGAACAACTCCCAGAAGTGCCATCGCAATCCTCGTCCTCGAACTCTCTTGAACCAGCTGTCAAAGTTCTTGGGAGTCACCGGCGTCAATCCGCTCTTGGTGTAGAACTCCTCAGGGATTGCTTTGTATCGTCTCTTCAACTTGGCTTGATCTGCCGTCTCGGGGATCATGTCGCCAGTGTAGCTGAGGAAGACGTTCTTCTCTTCATCATAGCTTGCCTCACGTAGACCTTGTTCATCATGAATTGCCGGGGCCAAAATGGCAGGTCCGGCAGGGTGCTCGTTGATCAAGTGGTTTGAATTCTTCGCAGGCTCTTTGCTCCCGTCGTTCTTCATGCACTGCTCTGCCAAAATGGCTGATGGTGAAACTTCGTCCTCGGAGTCGCGCTCTTCTGCAATTGGTGATAGGCTCTTGTTCTTCTCGCTGTTCATGAGGTCGTAGGGCTCCTCGGACTTCTTCTGCTGTTCCTCATCGATGAAGTGAATCTTCCTGGAAGGAACAGGATTCCGTAGTTCATCTTCTTCTCCATTCTCGCAAGCCAAATGATCACAACCAACATCATGATCTTGGCTCTTCATTGGGCCTTTGTCTCGTTCATGTTCACGATTGTAATCACACCGGTCATCCTCTGCCGCCGTCTGGGAATGGAAGCAGTGTCTGACCCGTGGTTGCACGTCAGGCCAAACTTTCGAAGTGATCTCGGTGATCTTCTGGAAGAAAGCGATGGCCTCGTGCTTCGAAGCTCTTGGAACCTTCTCGTTCTGAACGTTGTCACAAGGCAGGATGTAGTGTCCAGAAAATCTCTGAGCAGGATCCTAAAGAACTTCACGTGATTGACCTCTGCATCCATGGCGTCCTTGGTGTTCAGAACAAGCATGCCATCACCATTCTCGAACCAATCTGTCAAGATTGATGCACCCAATCGACGAAGAGTCGGGTTGCCAACCAGTGCTGGGCATAGGCTTCCAGCTCCACCAATGACCTCCGCCGTGTAGGTGATGGGTTGTCCTGCGGTCGCCATGGTCAACGTGACCTAGTTGACTCGCTGTTTCCTGAAATGCCGGAAACTGGAGTGATCTTGTTGCGGTTGATCTCCATCTCGCCCATGGAGCAACTCTTGAGCATTCTGAGGGTCTCGCTACCAACCAGCCCGGATGCAGCTCCGGGATCGATGAGCAAACCATAGCGTTCTTGCCCATGGATGGTATGGTAGCTCATCTGTGTCTCTTCTTTCTTCATGTTGAAGACCATGAAGTTCATCTTGAGCTTCTTGTCATAGTGATCCTTCGTAGTATACTCAGGCTGACCTGAATATCCCTCAGTTGGCTTCTTGAAGTCCTCATCCTCGGATGACGTGTGGATCACGAAGCTCTCGGCCTTCTTGGTCGTCTTGACCTCCTTGGAGCTTGTGGCAACTTCTTGCGGAGTTGAGGCATCAGGAATGCCTTCGCTGATCGACAGACCACCACGAGGCTTGCAGTTGTCCTCCTCCTGGTAGGCGTAGTAGTGGCCTTTTCGACCAAAGCCTTTTCCTTTTCCTTTGCCTTTGCTTCTCCAAGGATACTTGCTCTTGCCTTTGCTCTTTCCTTTGAAGTTGGGTCGCCATCTCCAGAATCCTTTTGACTTTCCTTTTCCTTTGTAGTTGTGGCTGCCCTTCTTGTTCTTGCCCTTGCCAAGTGGACAATCTCGAACTCGGTGGAACTTGCTGCCACAGTTGAAGCAGCCGTCGTCACTGCCCTTGCCTTTTCCTTTGTAATAGGCTTCGTTGTACTCGCCCGAGACATTGGAGTCGCTTGCTGAACCAGATGTCATGCCAGCCTCAAGGTCCACCTCTTGCCATGACTCATCGCTGGCATCATGGTTCTCATAGTAGTTCTCGTCGTTGGCGTACTCCTCATAGACCCATTCACCTTCATCGGCCTCTTCATAGCCATACCACCATCTCATAGTCATCGCCCCAGTCCTGGTAGTAGGCGTCGTAGTCGCCATAGGACTCATCATTCTCTTCATAGAGGATCTGGGCGTCATCAGGTTCTCGCCGATTAGGGTTGATGCGCAATGCCAGAGCTCGAGCGTCGTTAAAGCGAGTGTAGTCGCCACCAACCTGCAGTTTGATGTCATCAACCGTCTTGGATGGCAAGCCAGAGTTCTTGAACCATAGGAAGAACTTGCCAACATCGTTCAACTGCAGTCCAGCTCTGTCATGAGCATCATCGTACCGGCTATCGAACTCGACGCTGTATTCGGACAGGCTGAGCTTTCCTCTTGCAAGGCCAAAGAACTTGTCCAGTGCTTGTGTCGCCAGATCTTGGTCTTGCTGACCGAATGCCGTGCGGAGTGCATTGGCCAAGAATTGCACTCCTGAGGGAATGTGGTTCTGGATGATCACATTGGTCGCTGGGTCGCGGACTTCATCCACAGCTAGTCGAACCAGCGCTGCATCGCCAACATCGAAGGTGCCGTCTGGCCTTGGCACTCTCAGAGACATGGCGATCGTGGATGCTCGACCATAGAGTCGTCCAGCCACCAGTGGACCGATGGCTTCATCCTCCACATTGGCAATCCGGTACCAAAGCTTCAGCTTGTCGAAGTAGGTCCTCAAGGGATACGAAGCATCACCTGGAATCCAACCCGGCGGAATGTCCCGCCGATACTCCTGGAGCGGAATGCTCCCAGAGCTGGGTGGATTCATAGTCCAGCAATCTTGTAATCGATGGAGTCCACGGGGCCTGTGATGAGGTTCTCAAGGATGTAGTATTTATTCCTCTTGGGTTCAACCCCAAGTGAGGTAGTTTTCTGTGTTGTTTGTTCCTCTTGGGTTCAACCCCAAGTGAGGTAGTTTTCTGTCCTCGTCAGAGCCTTCTGACTTCTCTTGCCACCGACCGAGCAGGATCTCGATCTCCTCCTCCAAAGGCCCTGCAGACCAGAGCCTACCGCGCAACTCGCGGTAGCAGCCAAGCCGAGCGCCAGCAGCCTATGGCGGCGCTGGAAGGATCGGCAACGGAGCACTAGGCTCCACTACCAAACTCGACAGATTTGTGCCCAAGGCGCCTGCGGTATCGTGTCATGTGAAACATGTTCTACACTTGATCATAGCCATAAGGCCGTGAGGCATGAACTCAGAATTTCACTGTTTGAATGTGTTGCTGTCCTTCTTTTGCTAGTGGGGTAGGCCGCCGAGGGTAGCATTGGTGGTAGTGATACTGATAGTGGCAGTAGTGTAGTTGTAGTTGTAGTAGTTGGTAGTTAGTAGCGGCAGCAATCGAAGTGGAGAAAGAAAAAAGCATGGAAAAAGAAAGTCATGCAGCAACTAACTAACGCCGACGACTTGTGGACTCCATACTCGCATTGCCCGTCACGTCCCTGCAAAAGGACAAACTACTGCTACGGCAACACCATGTTGCATTTGTAGGCCCAGACGTAGTCAAAGCCTTTCATCACTGGCTGCACAAAAATAGGACCCGACCTGCATGCATACTCCTACTGCACATGACAGCAATTCGAGAAGAAACTTGCAACATTGTTGCTGGAAAAAAAAATACAGCGGAGTCACCCGCCTGAAGCGACACATGCCACGATACCCCACGCCATAGCCACCCAGTTGAAGCTCCATTCGGTCCTGGTGCTTCATGCATTTTTACCTTCCAAACCAAACTGGTGACTCAGCTGGACAAATCCAAGGTCTGGGCGCATTGGATTTTCATTGGACGGTGGCCAGGCGCAATCTGGAGATTGTTCTACAAATTGTGCTTCAGCCGGGGCGCTTTCAAGTATGCTGGCACCGACTTGTAGTCTGCAACGTAGGCAAACCTTGGTAGTCAGAGAATCAGAAGTAGCCGCTCTTCAACTGTCAGGCTGTGCTTTACTAGCCATCCCGTTTACATTCATGTGCACTGTAAATGTTTGAGGTACATGGTCCAGGTCAAATCATACCAGGTACACCAATTACATTGTCAAATTTGTGAGGCCCTATTGTTTCCCAATGTTTTGGAACCTTGCTCTGGCGGGTAGCATTGTTTTTTTTGTGATGAACACTCTTATATACGTAGTTTTGTGATCATCGCAAAAATGTTGATGTCATATGCCTTACCGCGTTCCCATATATATATAAATACAGACCTATGATCCTATGTATTCTGAACTATTCTATCTATTCTTATGTTGCTTAGTATAACTATATAATACATGTGTGTGTGCTCGCAAAGGCCGCGACCAAATTCGATTTGCAGACGCCTCCATCATGTGAATGTGTCGCTCACATCTGCAACCATGTTCAAAGAAGGGCAGAATCGATATTCTGACTCACGCTCAACATGGACTGGTGTTCCTCTTTCACAATGCATGTATGCATGTTGCACAATAGGAAAGGCTCCACAGCTGCAAACATCCGCAGAACTCCCAAACCTCGAGGATTCGCTTGCGGCCTTTGATAGCTGGCCGCGGGAACAAGAAAATTGCATTCTCTCATCGGTGTTCACCAGAGGTCACATGCATCACAGATGAACTCTTTGGACTTGCGCCTGGTTCTTCAAACACTCAGCCTCCTTCGATGCACCCTAATAAGCCTTTGTAGGATGTTCCGGGCCCTTCAAGCTTGACTTCCTTGACCCGAGAGTCCTCGACCTTTCAAACATTCTCAAACATTCTTGACTCCCACTGAGGTTCAGACTCACCTTGGACAAGCCATCATGAAAAACTATCACGGGATAGTCCTCACGTTCATTGAACCTCGCACGGCATGGACGGTCAAGTCAAGTCAGGTCAACTAAAATTGAATGCTCTTGAGTACTCTTGAGCAACCGGGGAAAACGGAAGCTTGCCTCGTCCATAAGATCGGCAAGCTTCGCTCAAAGTCGGCCAGGAGCTTCTCGCGGTCACCTTGCAACGCAGATTTGAACATCCTCCTCGCCAGAACCCTTACTAGTTGCAAGGACACTATTAGTAGCTCCTGGCATTCCTACCAGTAACAAGAAGCTACTAGTAACAGTAACAACGGGCATCGCCACTAGGAGCAAGGACACTATTAGTAGCTCCTGGCATTCCTACCAGTAACAAGAAGCTACTAGTAACAAAGGGCATCGCTACTAGGAGCAAGGACACCACTAGTAGCTCCTGGCATTCCTACCAGTAACAAGAAGCTACTAGTAACAAAGGGCATCGCTACTAGGAGCAAGGACACCACTAGTAGCTCCTGGCATTCCTACTAGTACCAAGAAGCTACTAGATGCTACTAGTAACAAAGGGCATCGCTACTAGGAGCAAGGACGCTATTAGTAGCTCCTGGCATTCCTACTAGTAACAAGAAGCTACTAGTAACAAAGGGCATCGCTACTAGGAGCAAGGACGCTATTAGTAGCTCCTGGCATTCCTACTAGTAACAAGAAGCTACTAGATGCTACTAGTAACAAAGGGCATCGCTACTAGGAGCAAGGATGCTATTAGTAGCTCCTGGCATTCCTACTAGTAACAAGAAGCTACTAGATGCTACTAGTAACAAAGGGTATCGCTACTAGGAGCAAGGATGCTATTAGTAGCTCCTGGCATTCCTACTAGTAACAAGAAGCTACTAGTAACAGTAACAACGGGCATCGCCACTAGGAGCAAGGACGCTATTAGTAGCCCCTGGCATTCCTACTGGTAACAAGAAGCTACTAGTAACAAAGGGCATCACTACTAGGAGCAAGGACGCTTTTAGTAGCTCCTGGCATTCCTACTGGTAACAAGAAGCTACTAGTAACAAAGGGCATCAGGAGCAAGGACGCTATTAGTAGCTCCTGGCATTCCTACTAGTAACAAGAAGCTACTAGTAACCAAGGGCATCGCTACTAGAAGCAAGGACGCTATTAGTAACTCCTGGCATTCCTACTAGTAACAAGAAGCTACTAGTAACAAAGGGCATTGCTACTAGGAGCAAGGACGCCCTTGCATTACCTGTTCACGATTCCACTACAGGAGTCATACTCCGCATACTGCCATAGATCTTGATCGTTACATCCCAGAGAACTTGAAGAACATCCTACATAGCCTATACAATTGGATCGAAATGGTGATGCCAAAGCAATTTGATGACATGTGCCACTGGAAACACTGATCGTGTACACTGGATTACACTGGTTGAATCTGGGACGCATGCCAACGAGATAGTGCAGAACGGCCTTGTATTTTCTTTGGGCATCCTGGCCATCTCTCCCTCGCTCTCCCGCCCGCCCTGGAGTTGTAAACGGGGTGCTACAGTTACAGCGAAAGCCAGGGAAAATTGAGGAAATGCCAAGGACACTGTCATAGACTTGAGGCAGCTGAAAAGTGCAGCTCAAGCCGGTCCTTCTTTCCATGCTGCACTTGCTCGCAGTATCTGCCACGAAAAGGTGGAAAGCACTCACAGAAACCTGCCGGGCCACGTTGATCTCAACATATCTGCAAAAGCTTGCTTGGGAGCATTGACTGCGCACATCCCCGTTTGCATTCATTCATGCTCACGCCACCCATCAGTGTGTTCTGGTGTGAGTCCAGAATGTAATTAGTAAACAAAATCAATTCCTGCCTAGGTCTGATAGGCATCGCCCTCGACCAGTGGACCTGGGCCCCCGCTTAAGCCGCTTATCACTATACGACGTTATGTGCATGTGTATATATATATATTGAACTACTTGTTATCTGATATGTATATATCATATATAATATATAAGAACCCTGGACAACACAAACAGCAGGAGTGCAAAAACACAGGTGCATTGGGTACGTTTTCATTTATATATATATATAACACCCTGTGATGTTCGCAACGCACTCGCGCCCGCTTTAGGAAGAAACCAAGCTACATTATGATCATCCCCGTATAGAGCACGGCCGGCGCATATCTTTTCCGAAGCACAGGTGCATCAAAGATGTATGTAACTCACTGCCAGTGAAACAAAGACCGGAGCTCTCAGTTCGTCACGAAGTCCAAGAAGTCACTTCAGGAGATTCCATCAAGTGTGTAGCTCTCAAGCAATAGCTTTCCAAAAGCAGTCTTGCACGGACTGTGCAAACAGAAACAAAATCACAAAGGAAAGTCTCTTAAAACACTTTCGACGACACCTTATTAGACCTGACCCCTACAAGTATATACAACTGAGGATACACTTTTTTGCACATGTCTCCAAGAGACAGAACAACCCCCAAAGCATGGAAGGAGTCGGGCGCAAAGAAAGGCGTCGACTGGGTCAGGTTGTGTAAAACAACACAGTGGTACTGCAGTAGATCATGATTTCGAGAGAAAGGAAGGTGCCGTGCCGATTTCCCCTTATGTTCCGTTTCATCATGATGTTCGCACCGCATGGCATCTGGCAGCAGTCGCAACATGCATCACACAACTTACTTCACACTGGTATATACTTAAATCATCTTAAATCACTCTTGCAGGCCAGCAGGACTCACCAAAAAAAAAATGCGCAAGGAAATGCATCGAAAATAGGGCTCGAGCTCCAGCATGTACGCCTTTCCGTGCTCTTCCAGCAAGTCCTGCAAGCACACTTGTTACTGTCATGATGATTCTCAGCCGTCAAGAACATTCCTGCTCCTAGAGTCAGCCAGCTCTGTCTTTTGGGTGTTTGGGGCATGGACATGTCGTTAAGATGGGCGACAGTCGCTCACCCGGCCTGTAATTCCCAGCTGCGCCAGGACTGGGGCAACGGTTTCTCTGCCTGAAAGACGCAAGAATGTTCCGAAGGTCTTTTGGTTTACGGAGCCTTAAAGAGTGCTAGAGATAGAAGCAGCACCAACAAAACAAAAAAAAAAACACACTCAGCCCACTCTGAATTGCAAACTGGAAGCAGGCTGAGTACTTAGTACTTCGAGTTCTTTTCAATTCTTTGGTCACGCCTCGCCTCTGATCCGGTGGTTTGGCACTCTACAGCCCCATCCTCAATTGAAGCAGGCCAGGTCATGCCAAAGCCATATTCAAAGGGTTGCAAAAAAAAAACACATACGAGAATGTCGTTTTGCAGCATGAACGTGAAGAAGTCTCACCCAACAAACATGTCTGAGGTGGCTGGCAGCCAGTGGCAAATGATTCGCCTTGATAAAGCCACACAAATGTTCCCGCTGCACAGCCTGACGCATTGTCACCACGCTTACCAGCTGAAGAGAACGATGGTCGGAGCAACAAGGGAGAAAGTGCATTGCACACAACATACATTGGTTCAAATGCCAGTATATGCACGATGTTAAAAAATGTGTATACATATGTGTATATCTATATATTCAGTGTTTAAAAAATTTGTTATATACATGTGTGTGTGTGCATTCTCCGTGGGTTCAATGGCAACTTGCGCCTTCCGGCTTGCGTTCTGGAGCGAGGCCAACATCTCCGCACCAGGCGCCTGTGTCGCTCAGCGTTTGACTGCGGAGCTGCCCCGTGGATTTCCATGGAAACCCGGCAAGTTTATGGCGATTGGACCGGTCTGCTCTCGATTCCTTTCACGAGCTTTTTCTCTACCTCGGCTGGCAGCCCAAAAATGGTGCTCAATACATGCTGCCCTCTCACTCTCTCTCTCTCTCTCCAAAAGAAGTTATATATATATATATATAAGTATATATATACACACTGAGAAGGAGGGGACGAAAGCCAGCTGCCGCCAAAGGATTGTCTCTTTTTCTGGTGGGCGTCTATCTATCTATCTGGCGGGCGTCTATAGACATATAGGTTGTGGACTCAGCATCTGCTCAAGGACTCTGGGTGAAAGTTGTAGGTGAAATCCGCGCTGGTCATGCACCGGCAAACCGGAAAGACATTCGGTGCGTGTGGGCGCCGCGAGCAGCATCCACTCGACCGAGGGCATGGTGCAAGTAGAGTATATACTCGGGGGCAGGAGCCCTATGCGGATAGGTAGTCAACCTCGCAGGCACCCCCACCGAAACTCAATCCAAGTTCATGGACTTGAACTCATGTCGCTTTCTGTCCTCTATGGCCTCTATGGATTTGGCGGGTTGCGGTTGTCCTGGAAACTCGTATCCTACCTGCGGCTGCGAACTGCTCTGTACGTGGATCTCTCGGGTCCTCTATGCCCATTGCCCAAATACAGTAGCCTCCAAAGCCCTTCATGATGCTAATGATGCACTACTCGGCGTCCATTGCATCACTCGCATCACCAAACCCAATTTTCACTGCTTTTCGGACCCTCGCACCCCCACACCCCCCTTAACTCACTTCGTTCGCCCTAAAGCTCAAGCCTTGCCTATCGGCTGGCTTTCGTAATATACACTTGGTTTACCATGGTTTACCGCCGCTCTTCAGTTGGAGGTGAACAATCCTATGTCTATCATAGCCTTAGAGTCATAGAGGTGCTTAGAGCTCTTAGAGGGTCCTCTCAGCTCCGAGGGTTGGCCCGTGGCCGCACCTGCTCCAGCCCAAACAAGCTGGCAGCCGCTGGCGAGCAGTGCCAGCCTGAAGATCAAGGATTCGCTCGAATTGGTCATGTGCGCCACGCATCTCGACTAGCAGTATCCAAAGGTATTCAAAAGATGCCCCAAACAGCTCCTAGGTCCTAGGTCTGCTGTCTTGACCAAGCTCCTGTAGGAAATATATAACCGGAGTGATTTTGGCCTCGTATCCAGTGGTCATACAAGGTCACTTCTCCTGGCCTGAAGCGAACGGCTTTGCGACAGAACAGATACGAATCAGCACTCAAACCAAACCTTGACACCTCAACCAGCTTTCAGCAAGGGTTGCAGGGTTGCATCAAGAGTCTCAGCTCCGATCTCAGGATTCACCACACCTGAGCCAACGGCTCTTTAAGTTATGAAACGGTGGCTATCTCTTGCCGAAAAAAGTGTTCTCTGATGATCTGGGAGCTACCTGAAGATGAAGCTGATGACGAAGCCCGACGAAGCAAAGGTGCAACCTAAGCAATGGAAACACTGCTCACCCTTATTGATAGTTTTGATATGTTTTGATCTTTTGACCTTTTCAGCCGTCCTCCCTGACCTCGCTCCACTGATTTAAGATATCATCGGATTGGCTGCACGTGCAACCAGCCCGCATATGCAGAGTCTAAACAGCATGCTCGTGGTCTTGGAGTAGTGCTCGAACTCGAACCAGGGCATTGTTTCAGTCTGCTTTATATATTGTCATCTGCCGGGTGGTGTGTTGCATGCTGCCTGTGTTGCTTAAAGGCTGCCAAAAGGTTGTTGAATGCAGGGCAACAGCTGCCGTAGGATCAGTGAATGTGGTCTGAATATGAGAAATCTCCTTTGAGGCCCTCGCTGCTGGCCAAACGACCTTCAGTACCTTGGCATGAACACAATGCCGTCAAGGCTGGGAAGGAAATAACTATTACTATAGCGACCAATTCTACATAACTTCAAGTTACAAGTAAGTTCGGGCCATGGGTGTTCAAAGGTGCTGCATGTGGTCTGTTATGGTCTTGCACTCACAGGTTCGACTCAAACAGCCATGTTTCTGAGTACTGAGGTTCCAGCAAACACGGCGAAGGTATGTCTCAGCTGAACCACATGCATCAAACAAACGCCAACAATCCCGGAATCAAGGAGCACGTTCTAATTCAAGTATACGGGATCTTCTCAGCAATCCCATCTGCGGATTCAGTTTTTTCCTGCTACAGCTTGCTTCAAATAAGCTATGGGTCTGCATGACCAGCTTGTAGGAAAAAGGTCCACATTGAAGCCCAGCTGCTCCAAATGCAGCAAGGTGTAGCCCTGCCTCAAAAAGTTGCAGAAGTCAATGATCAGCTAGTGACCTAGGCAAAGCTGAGCCAAGCTGCTCCTCCATGATGGCAGAGGCACTGGACAAGGAGCATTGTGCCAGCCACCAAATTGCCTACTGGGCTAAATTCATACAGGAACATCTACTCAAAAAGCCTATTGGAATCGAACACGAAGTCTGCAACATCTTTTTGTCTCCCGCCTCCCCATCAGTCTCCACCTCAAAGTGCAAATAGGATGCAGCCAGCTATCAGCAGACACATAGTGCAAATTCAAGAAGTCAATCTCTTGTTCCTTATGTCGGCCCTTTGTTCTTCTAACCAAGTCGACCCGGACCAGGCACTAAGCCCCATGGCTGCCCACAGGTCACCATCGTTATTGCCTCGAAGCCACTCAAGTCTGGGCTAGCCACTCAAGTCTGGGCTAAGGTGGCCAAGGGCTTGACACAAAACAACCAACGCCAAAAACATGTGTACTGTATATAGTCGGTTTACGGGAGAAAAACGTATACCAACATCATCAAAAAATATGAAAGGACAAAGGATGTCTTGAGCATCCGACTCGCTTTGGCCTGCACTGCCTGTCGCAAGAATTGTGGTGTCAAGCTAGGACACCACAAGCATATCACGTAAGTTTCACTTGAGCCGCTTTGAATTCCAGCTCTTTAGCGAGGTCTCTCAAGCCAGGGCACAGTCACGACTATGGATCTTGGACGCATATGTCTCAACTGTGGAAACTAAAGGAGAGTCAAGAACACTTGATTGCAGTTGGTTTGCTCTCCCTGCCCTATGCGCCCATGTATGTATGTATACATGCATGCATGCATGCAGGCAGACAGGCAGGCAGGTAGGTAGGTACGGACGTACGTACGGACCGTATTGCGAAATGACAATTCTGATGAACAAAATGACTTGGATGAAGGTAATTAGTTTGGGGAGGATTTGTTCAACGTTTTCAATTATTCAATGGTGTAATTACATTGGGGAGCAATTCTCCTGTGCACTTCCCAGTGGAATTGACACATCTGCCCCCCAAATATCGAGGTTTTGGAAGCTTTTAATCAATAGTTTTTAGGGTTATGTAATCCAGTGTTTGCTTGGGACCGGTTGCCACACAAGCTCCTTTCCATTCTTCTTCCAGGCTCTGTGTGCGAGCAACATATCGAGCAACAATGCTTTCAAAGCTGAGTAGCACTCTTTTGGGGTCGCAGGCGTCAACCTGTTCCGAACATCAACCGGCTTTGGCGTGGACTGGACAAGAGCACCACAAGCTATTGTTCATGGAATCCGTAGACAACACACGCAGATCACCCGTTCTCTAACAACAGAAAGCATCATATAGATACCGAGCATCTATTACCCATGCCCACCCCACCCCCCACCCCGTACAAACCATTGCATCAGCTACACTTTCTTCATACATCGTACAACGATGTCTTCCAGTTACATAGACATGACGAACACAACCCATCTTCTAAAAACAGAAGACGTTACATACCCACCATTGTGAGCCTTCCAAATACGTCGCAGAAAATTGTTGTGGCAATGTCCAAACAAGGCACAAAACACCACGGCCCGTTATGGGCGGTGGTCCAACTACGTACGTATGTAACTATGAATGAATGAATAAGTGACGAATGACGAATGAACTAATGAATGAATGTACTGTATATATATATATAACGAGATATATAACTATATATATATATATGTTGGGGTCGTGGTGAGTGTGTAACCCTTGGAGTCACAGGATCCTTTTGGATTTGTAGTTTTGAAAGATAAGCAGTGGGCACTGAGACTGATTTCCTATCCGTGCCAACGAAGCTACGGAAATCAGTTGGAAGAGAGTTGGGACGCCAACTCTTGTACCTGCCTTTTGATTTGATTGTGATGTTGAGCAACTATCTTCTCTTCTAGCTGACCAGGCTGGTTAGGTTGCTCTCAGGTCGGCAGATGTGCACATACGCCATCATCTTGTCGCCGCTTTTGGGTTCTCGCTATTCGTGTTTTGGGCTTTGGAGACCTTGATCTTACCTGGACCCTTAGGCGGTTTACCTAGGCCGGCGAGTGGCAAACCGCAATCAAGTCTGTACGCATTTCTATAAGTGTGTGACCTTGTCATGTCAGAAAGCTACCAATGCTCTTGGAGCAGCATTCGCTCCTAGCACAGCGATATGCTGTAGCAATACACAAACTCACAGTGGCCCTTCGCAAAAGGCAAGTGTGAACAAATCGTTTTTTTCTAGCAGAGCGTCTAGCTGTAAAAACCTCTCCACAGTCTCAGAGTTGCAAGTCCTCAGCCCTCACCTTGAGCCACTGTGAATGCCACGCAGTGAAGTTGGGCACTACTTCCCATGGCGGTGCCTTCGCAAGGCATTGGAAAATTGCTTTGACCCTTGTCGGCCGGTAGTCGCATTTCTCCATGCATGGACATCTGTTCAAGCTCGTAAAGATTGTACAGCAAGCATGGATATGTCTCTCCCCTACGCAAGCACATGCAAATACGTTTATTTACCACTGCATTTATATACTATCTGCATGGTGGAGGTACGCTCACCCTATGCAAAGAAGGTCATCAACGAGCATGCAGGCAAACACGGGAAAACCTGTTCGCAAAGTTGAGACTCAGAGCCCGGCAATCAATGGATTTACTGGAACCCAAATCCTCAGAACTCACTGTTTGTTGGATCCTGGACCCTGGCTTTCGCAACAAAAGCCGAGTTCCCTGAGGGCAGGTCAGTTTGGGCGTCAGCTGTGGAGCTGCTTCGCCGCTTGAAGCACCCTGAGTGAAGTCCGGGTGTTTGGGGCCCGCACGGCTGGAAGTGCCACCCAGGCGAAGACAACAAAAGAGAATGAGTCAGCCTGGTCTATCATTACTTCCCCATGCCATCACGACTCTCATCCTTAAATCACCTAGCAGCAAACAGGCACACAAAGGCCACTGCATAGGCATAGACACACAGATTCAACCTCTGTGGCACCCCACAGAACAGAGAAAAATATATAAGATATAGAGACATATTATAGAGGCACACTATGACACAGCACAGCACCATGAATTTTCAGCGCTTCGCCGCTGTCTTTCCAGCGTATGTCGACCCATTTACTGTAGCCCGATCTGGTCCATGCTGACATGAGGGCCAATGGACGCAGGGCTCTAGCCAGCCCCGGGCTTTGTCACAATCTTGCACTTGTTGCAAGCTAGCCTGCTGGCATAGTTGTGATTGCTGCAGGATGGACAAACCCAATCGCCTTCCCGAAACTCTTGTGTGCCAGGCATGGACGTCGCCTGTGGAGCCCGAGGACTCATAAGTTGTTTGTTATTTTCGGCTGCAAGCCCACCTTGGATGCGCAAAAGGTCAAACAACCTTCTCGACATGGTTCAGACTGGGTGACCCAAACCCGCTGACCCCATGTTTGACTCAATTGAGCGAGAGGCGGGGAAACTAGTATGGAAATCTACCTTAACAATGAAAAGAGTTGATGCTCAGTCAGGCTCAGTCAGTTAGGGATTCTCACACACACACACACACAGCACTTTGAGTTTTGACCCCACTCATTTGTGCATTGAATCTGAGCCTCAAGCAATCCGGCTCCAGCAATCCTTGCTATCCCTCTGCACCATGACTACTACAATTTGGTGCAGTCAAGCCACACTTGTTACAATTGACCTTGTCGGCATAATTGTGATTTGCGCAGGACATACAAATCCAGTCCCCTTCCCGCAATCCAGCATCAGAGATTCGGGTGCCTTTTGGGATGCCACACCTGTTGCAATTTGTTCGGATCGCATAATTGTAATTGGAGCATGCAGGGCATAGCCACCCACCTGCAGCCTTTGATGACGCTTGGGTAGCTGGAAGGAGGGATTGCATGGCTGACCAAGGTGAAGGCACCGCTGCTATCAATCCAGGCATTCCAAGCTGGGCTCCCATCATCGACGCTCCCATGGCTCCAGGCACTGCTCCAACCATGGGTGCCATGCCCTGATGTTGGAGCTTGCCTGCAACCATCTTCAACCATCCTAAAGCTATTTTGATGTTTATATATGTGTTTCTTACATGTCACAGCCCGCGCATGAATCTACCGCTGTTCTCTGTCCATACAAAAGCTAGATTGTTCGCCTATCGGAAATCAGTGGCCCTGATTAGCTGACAACTACAAATGCATTAAAAAGAAAAAACTAAAGACATGCTGCTTTTATGGATGTTCAATGACAGATATAATATTGTATATTCAAACATGTTAAAGAACTACTTTTGCGATTTTGGATCGCAAACCAAAAAACATGCGTCATCACGTCTACGCATTTCATGTTTCCCTATATGGTACTATATGGTGATTTTCCTGAATTCCCTGTTTAAATTCCTCACTACTGAGCCTTTAATATCCTTTTTGATCTCTAATGATTATAACGATTCCCTTTTCAATCCTATTCCAATGATTTCCCTTTACTTTCTTTTTGATTGCATCTGATTTGCTGTTAAATTCCGTTTTTTGTTCCTCTTGATGTCCTATTTTAGTTCTTATTATCGTATCCGTATCCTATCAAAGGAGTTGGCCCCGTACACTTGAAATCTTGACTTGAATAATGAGGCCCTCTATATACAGCTAAATACATTATTGTCTCCCCCCTTTTTGCTTTAACAATACAGTAACACCCCCTGGATTAATGTCTATGTTGTTCTATTGTTCAATGTGATATTGATATTGTCCCTCAAATAAATATTGTCCGCACTTTGCTCTCGGATGATTTTTAACAAATGCGTTCGCTGCAATTGTCTATGCTTTTCCTGTTTTATTACCTTTTTTGTGACTTCCCTGTTTGAAAATTCCTTGTTTGATTACCTATTGAATTCCTTTTGGTTCTTCTTGATTCCCTTTGAAATTGTTTTGACTTCTGTTGATTACCTCTTAACTTCTTTGGATATGTTCTTGTTTTTGCAATCCCTTTTTCAATGTTCTCAAATTATTCCACAGCGGGGTTAGCCCAGTAATTACACTAGAAATATTGAATAATATGACCCCCTACAATAATGTCTGCCCTGTTTGGCTCTAGTAATAACATCCACCGCAATCACGTCTACCTTTTTCATGTTTCATTATCTTTACGTCCTTGTTAAGTTCCTTGTAGTTGTTTTTGATTACCTATTGTGTTTGTTGATATCCGTTGATATATGCCTTTTAAGCTCTACAGTTAATTTCCTTTTAACTCCCTTACATCTGATCAAAGTATTGCAGAAAAAAAACATGCCACAAAGGGGGTAGCCCAGTACAGAAAAGCAGCTGACAAGCAGGCAAAGGTAGAAGAGCTGAAAAGTAGGAAAAGGTAGAAGAGCGGAAAAGCATGAAAAGGCAGATCATGGCGGGTGAGCATATATATATATATAGATATATACAGTATATATTTTGCATATATATATATATAGCAGATGCATTTATAGAGAAATCAGAGAGAGAGAGAGACGAGACGAGAGAGATTGTTTTCGGGGGGGCGGGGGCGGGGGGATCTTTTGTTTGACATGTTGTGTACATCCAAATGACCCGCTTGGGGCCAAGCATGGGCCAAACACAAAATCTTGGTGACGGAAAGACTGGCGCAGTTGACCAACAGCCAAAGCCTGTTGGAACATTTGTTGCTGGTAGGTGCGATTGAAGGTGGATGAGAAATTTGATTATCTCTATCAGTATCATGACCAAACTGTACTGAACCACAAACAAGCACTCGGATTCCCAGGCGTGGTGCTTCCATCTCCATATGGCGTAGCTGCAGTGAATCTGGTCATATTACCACGACGGGGCATGGCGCCATAGCCAGCTCCAGCGGCAACGGCTTCCTTCGGCTCTCCGCAGCGATTGCACGCCTTTTTGTCCTCGGAAGTGGGCTCGTAGACTTAACAAAACACGACTTGAAACTTGAAATGACCGCCAACAGTCATCAGGCCAGGTTTTTGTCCGGAGCTGGTGGCCAGTTGGCAGTCTGTTCGTAGGGAAGAATGGGATCCGATGAGACAGGTGAGTGGACTTGAGACAGACCTTCGACCGCCAGCCACCCCGCACATGCATACAACCTTTGGAGAAGGAATATTTACCGCCAAAGTTTATGCGCTGCTACTCACCTACTAAAACTGCAAGTGCAAACAAGGATCTGCATAGTTGTGATTGCCACATGAAGGACACATCCAGTCTCCGGGCCTCATATCTACTGGCACTTTCCGCTGCGGCGGATTGCCATTGAAGCTCACAGGTTTGGCCAGGGCACACCTGCAGGGAAGTCTTGCACAAGACAATGACCTCAACCCGCCAAAACAACTTGAGCAATATCGAGGCCAGTGTCACGATTGGCATGCTATATCCGGAATTTGGTGCAAATTCCTCCACGAACCCACCGTCCGCCATCGAGTCTGTTCTGCACAATCCCGGACACCCAACGAACGCAACTTGTCTCACCAAACATGTCCCTTGCCACACCTGTTGCAGGCAATCCTTGCGTGTGACAACACATCGAACCACAAAAAGTAGCTGAGCATGTTGCATCTACACAGTCTGCCAACACTTTACACTTCCGAGTATCTTGTCCGCATAGTTGTGGTTGTTGCAGGAGGGGCATATCCAGTCTCCCGGCCGTATGTCCGCTTGCACCATGGCGCCGGACCGGCCGTCGGCCCAGGCAGCTGCAAAATCTGCCCCGGAGGCTGTGAAGAAGCTGAGATGCACAGCTTTTGCGCATGCGAGCTGTTATTTGTAGCAATGCATACCTCGAAGTGTCTGCTTATGTAGCTATTCAGATTGGCAGTCATTTTCAACCGTCCATAATCATCCATAACAATTCGGTTGGAGGCCATAGCTATTAGGGTGGAGGTGGAGGCCATTGCTTCTAGGTTGATTTTCAACCTAATTAATCTTCAACAATTTTATCATATATGCTGCATGCTGGTACTAGTAACAAGAAGCTACTAGGGGCTCCTGGGATCGCAACTAGGAGCAAGGACGCTACTAGGGGCTCCTGGCCGTACTACTAGTAGCAAGAAGCTACTAGGAACAAGTGCATCGCTTCTAGTAACAAGTGCCTTACTAGTAGTAACAAGAAGCTAGTAGTAACAAGTGCCACGCTAGTAGTAACAAGAAGCTAGTAGTAACAAGTGCCACGCTAGTAGTAACAAGAAGCTA